CAGTTTATATATTAACATTTCTTTGTGTATCTCTGACCAAAAGTATTTACTTATTTGACCATTATTATTGTTAGAATTGTTATTACATTGGTCAGCCACATTGACCCACCGAGAAAACGTGATAAACATACTGAACGGTTCATTAGGTTTGTCTTCTTGCTTTGCTTTGCTTTTTTACATTTCCACCTCCATCATCATCATCATCTCTCTCTCTCTCTCTCTCTCTCTTAATCATCACCTCAGAATCGACAGTAATATATTGGGGAGAAAAGTTTTCTCTACATTGAATTTTGATTTCATTTTCGTTAAATTGTGTTTGGATTAACAAGAATATTTTTTTCTATTATATTTTATTGGTTAAATTGCTTGATAAAGCAAAAAATTTCCAACTGATTATCATCATCATGATTTGTAGATGGACATTATTATTAAATTGGTCATCTCGATTATCAATATGTTTAACTTTTTTTTTACTCAACTTATAAATGAGTGATAGTCGTAGATAGATGATTATTAGTTTGTTTTATGATTTTGATTGATTATTTTCAATCATTTATATCACTATTAGATTAATATGGTTGATTGTTAAGTTAATCGTTAATAAATAAATAGTGATACATGTATTATTATAAGTTAATCAGTAAAATTATCATGATTATAATGATAAGATTTTTATTTAAACAATGATTTAAGATCATTAAGATGAAGAAGCAGAAAAAATGATTTATTTCATTGTGAATATCAACCGAAAAGTACTGAACATGGTCAAGTTGATTGTTATAAACTGACCACTGCAATCAGGATCATTAGTTTTACTATATTATTTGCTGTTTTCTCGGGCTGATCAAGATCACTGATGTAAACTACAATGAAGAGAGAGAGAGAGAGATCGTAATGACCAAAATGAAGTTTATCATTTTCTGTCCTCCATTTATCTCATCCAAGAGCAAGAGTGACCATTGAAGAACTGACCAGAATTTGATTAAGAGTAGTAACCTTTTTTTCTTGAGGATAATTTATTACGGAAGTGATAATAGGCTGTTATTAGCTTTTGTTTGTTTAACAAGCTAAATGTTCATAAATACAGTTAACACAGATTAAGAAGGAGGAAGATAAAGATGAGAAGGAGTCAACTGGGAGGGAAACAGTAAAAACTTAGGTTGTGTGATGATGATGATGATGAGGATGATAAGAAAATAAATAAAACGGAAGAAGTGATAAAAAGTAAATGTTATAAGGAGAGAGAGAGAGGGAAAAGGTGAGAATAGATTAGAGGCTATTTCTATTTCATCAACAACTCCTACTGACCAGTAGAAGATGCTTGATACGTGTGATGATAAACATAATGATGATAAGTGAAAAAGAAAGAAAGAGAAGATAAAAATACTCTTTCTCTTCCTCCCTAAGAGCATAGAGAGAGAGAGAGAGAGAGAGAGAGAGAGATGATTGATGATTGATAAAAATGATTTAATATGATAAATAATATGAGACATTAACCATTTACTATTACCACAAGTTGATAACTTAATCAACAGTCAATTTAACATTGAACATTGGTTAACATACAATGCTGATGATGATTAAGATGGGAAGAGGAGGAGGAGGTGTTGGTGGTGGTGGTGGTGGATAAAGAGGAGATAATCTTTCCCACCATGGATAAATGAATTGTATCACACTTTACACACGTTTCACAATAATAGTAAAATAATAATATCATTCATCAGATAAGAAAAAAAAATCCATTCAAATTGAATGAAGACAAAAAAAACTGTAACATTGTATTGATATTGGAATTGGAATTGAAACTTTCATTGGCTCATGATGATGTCTTTTTATTATCACATGCAACTGATCAGCTATTCATCATTAATTGTACTGTTTGATTGTTCATATTGGTATAATCACTTTTTTATTCATTACAATGATGATAAAAAATACACCAACGATCAATATTAATTTACCTTGACAATTTGGACAATTAAAGTTATATTGGTAACATGTTATCATTATTTATTAACTGTTAATTGTTGACATTTAATTCATTTTATCAATGGTTATTATCTGAACTTTGTTTTGTTTAATTGATTGTTACTCTTGGTGAATGTTGATTGTGATCAATTTTTTTCACTCGCCAATCTTAATGAAATGTTTGTGTTGACCTTTTAATTGTGTTTTCTAATTGTAATTGTTTTCAAAATCAATTGGTAATCGATAACAATTACCGATCATGTTATTATCATCACTATATATGAATGTATGTAAGGGATTTCATGGAAAACGAATCAGGAAAAAAGTTCTGACTGCGCATTTGGAAAATTCTGAGTTTGCTGAACCTGAACTTCTATCCAGTTCCATTTGGAGATGATGAGATTCATGCTCAGTAGATTAGATGAATATCCAATGAAGAAAAGAAGAGAATATCTTTCATGACAATCTTTTGATTTGTTCCAAATTTAAATCAATTAATCACAATTCGCAGATGAAAATAGATTTACAGGTAATTTATATTTTCTCCTTGTGGTGTAATTTGTATTCCAATGAGAGAGACGAAGAGATAAAGTTTGATATGAGAATTCAGATCACGAATGAATCTCTCTAAAGGACTAGTATGGAATTGATTTTGAATCCAGTAAATTTTCATTCAATAATCACAAGGATAATCAGGTAACAATCAAAGAGCGAATCAATTTAAACACAATAAAGTATTAACAATCAAATGATTATTCTCATAAATTGTCCACAGGGAAATGTACATACGGATAGTTAAATGTTATCTTATCAATTTATTTATTAGCTTTAAATTGATTCACCATTTTAAACCTTAATCACCAATCGGATTAAGAATCGGATAGAACCAGAAATTGATAAAGAAACAATAATAATAAAAGATAAACAATCAGAGAGATTCATTTGCTTAACTCAAAGCTAATAAATAACAATTTAAAAACAGTGAAAGTGATTAGTTGATGAGCTAATTTAATAATGATTTATAATACAAACGCTGTCAGGGTTAACGTTAATTAACAATGTAACAAGATTAAGATTAACCTACATGGTGTTTATAGTTAATCGTAAACAGAAAAACCAGCAAGTGATTAATCCATGGGTGAAAATACAATATAATGTATATAAAAAAAGATCGATGATGATGATGATTAAGGTAAGTAATCAATCTGATTAACGGTAACTTTATACTCCCATTGAAGATAATGTGAGAAGAGGGAAAGATGATATTTAAATTTTCTGATATTATGTCATGAAAATAGAGAACCGGAAGAGATCCCATTGAGTTTCTCGTATTTTTTTATACTTCTCAATGAATCAGATTATCTGAATAAATGGATTATCGTATTATTAATTAAGGAGAGAGAGAGAGAGAAAGTGGATTTGTGATCATGGTGATTAAGGGATAATAAATATACTTTGTATGTGATAAGCTACAGAGACAATGTTATCCTTCATTATTAATAGACGATGATATTGTTGTTTGTTTGTTTTGAAGGAAAAGGAAATGAGATGATATTTAATAATCTCTAACAATCAATGTTAGTATTATAATCAATAATTCATCCATTCAATCCCATTGATCCTAAGCTAAAGTGTCTCTATTTTCACTTGAATGAACGTTTAACTTTCTCATTCTTGGTCAATGGTTAGCAAATGATCAGAGTGTATTTTCATCCCTCATCCTTCATCATTCACAGCTTCTTGGAGAGAGAGAAAGAGAGAGAGAGAGTTTGTGAGCCATTGAGTGAGTATCAGGTTTGGATATTGGTGAAAGAGGAGGAGAGTGTTAGAGTTAACTATTAGGGTGGGATAATCTGTAGATGAAGTAAAAGTTTCTACTTGTCAATTGTGTTTGTAAATCACTTGTTTGGGTCAGTGTATTGACTTTGAGGTTTTTCTCAATATCATTCATACTAAATACTATATTACTACTACTTGATAATCATCAAGGTGAATGAGTTGAATTGTTAAAACAGAGAGAGAGAGAAAGAGAGAGAGAGAGAGAGTAAAACAAAAACTTAACCAAAGTTTACATGAGTTTGTCAAATATCAGATTAACAGTAAATGGTTATGATGATGGAAACTAATTGATTGCATGAAAAAGGTAATAAATAAATTCAATGTTACCATGATGTTCATATAAAAGGTTGAGTGCACATTACCGGTAGATTGAAATATCATCTCCATCATCATGCGCAATCAATTTAATAAATCAAAGGAAAATGAAGATGATGAAAATTGATTATTACTGAAAAAATAGTAACAGAAAATGAGAAAGAAAGAAAAAAAGAGAGAGAGAGAGTAAAATAGATCACAAGAAATCATGACGGTGAGTAGGATGAGGATGATGATGATCACCAGTGAAGGTGAATACGATGATGATGATGATGGAAAGATATGGAATAGAAAAAAAAGTAAATCGAAAAAAAAAGAAACTCTGATAATAATTGTTAAGGAAAAAAAAGGAGAGATAATGATTAAGAATCTTATCTGAGTCAAAGTCATCAATTTTTTCTTCTTCTTATACTCAGTGTTGTCAATAAGATGAAGAAGAAAATAAGATGATGATGATGAGAATGGAAGATGATGAAAAGAAAAACAAGAAATTTGATTGGAAAAACAAGATTGAAAAGAAAGAAAGAAAAAGAGAAAAAGAGAGAGAGAGAATATGAAAAAGAAAAAATTGAACAAGAAAGAAGAACAGAGAATGAGATAATCTCCATGGAAATCAGGATAATCTTTTGTTTCTTTTACATATCAGCCAAGAAAACAAACTTGAGCAAACATATTTAATGAAGATATAAGAGATTAGCTCCTAATCTAAAATAAATATCAGAAAAGAAGACCAATGTGTTTGATGATTTTTTTATTCTTCATCTTCTTCTCTTTACCGTTATCTCGATATCGAGAGATTGGAAAGATGTCGAAAATAAAGAAGAAGAAAAAAAAAATTCTAAAGAGAACAAACTCCATTTAATCTTCTGTCTTTTTCTCTCTTTCTCCTCACCTAATATATACCTTTTTCCTCTTTTGTTTCTCTCTCTCTCTCTCTCTCATCCTCATCATCATCTTCTTCCATCATCATCCTCTTCTTCTCTTATTTGCTAATTAATACACTAATTAATTAATCGTAAGTTAATCTGTTCGGATGTTTCAGTTTCTCCGTTATTCCGTTTCTGGCTTGGAATCATTTCCTATCTAATGTAACCTTTTCATGTGCCTTTCCCTTAGCACCTTCTTAATCTTAATCCTCTTCCATAGGAACAAAAAATAATCGTTAATCTTATTTGTAATCCAATCAATCCTATCTATTTATTCAATACAAACATAGTAGGAATTTTTTTTTCTCTCTTTCCTTTTTTTTTTAATCTAAATTAGTCTAATTAACGCTCACCGCTTTTAATTGTCTAGATTAATATTCTCATTGTGCTTCTTGTGATTCCTTTATTGTCACTCGATAATAATAACAATTAGTATTGTTTTTTTTTAATTCTTTCTCTTTCTCTCTTGATTAATTTAATCTCTTTGTAACTGAATTACAATTTTCGTCTTTGAAGATTGTAACTTATCAGCTACATGATTTGGAAAAACAATGAATAGTGATCCCGATAATACAACAATTAATCCAATCAGCTCTTTATACTATTATGATAATCCATATTCAGCATGGTTACCATCAACTGAACCTTTACTTTATCCGACATTGAATTACGACACATCAGAATTGAATCGTGACACAGTGACAACACTTTCATCATTAACATCCCAACAGCATCACTATCAACAGTCACAATCACAGCAAATTTTTACAAACACACACCAGAATCATGTTCATCACCATCATCAACACCAACAGCAACAGCAACACCACCATCATCAACAACAGCAACAACAACAACACCAGCAACTAATCAATCATCATCCTCATTTGTATCATCCACCTCCCTTACCACTACCTCCGTCCACTCATTCTGCAATAACCACTGTCCCACCACCGCCACCGCCGCCGCCTCCAGCACCTTCAGCACCTCCATCAGTAGGAACACAACCTTCCCATGTATTAACACCTTCCTCTACACCGGGGACACTTTTACCGACAACTGATGGACCTCATCATGCGGATATTAAAATTGAAATAATTTCCTCTCATCCAGCTGAAAGTCGTGATCATCATGACATTGATCGTGACTCTGATAATCAGAATACAAAATTATCTTCCTCAGAAAGTGATCCTCGAAATTCACCTGGAACCAATTGCGGTGCTCTATCGCCGTTGAATAATACTGACCACTCAAATCACCACAATGGTGACAATTCCAGCTCAATCCAAGACCATTCTACCTTAATTAATGTCGATTCCCAACCTTCATCCAATTCAAATGGTTCATCATCTTCAGAAATTTCCAAAGGAAATAGTAAAAAGCGAAAACGTCGAGTTTTATTCTCTAAAAATCAAACCTACGAATTGGAGAAACGTTTCTGTCAACAGCGATATTTATCAGCTCAAGAGCGTGAGATTTTAGCGTCTACTATACGACTTACGCCGACTCAAGTAAAAATTTGGTTCCAAAATCACCGGTACAAGACGAAAAGAGCTCGACAAGAAAAGGGTCTAGATGTTAATCCACTTCCATCTCCTCGTCGAGTGGCCATTCCAGTTTTAGTTCGAGACGGTAAACCATGTCCAAACTCATCCACAAATGGATTGGTCTCCGGGTCATCTACTCCCGTTTCCTTATCCAATGAGGTTATGAGATTCAATTCTTACAGCTACTTACCTGGAGGAGGAAGTGTTGTGAATGGAGGTACGAATTTACAAGTCCTTCAGGCAAATCAATTAGATTTAGAGCCAAGTGGAAACGGTTTCAATTCAGCCCTTCATTATCCGCCCACGTTTTACTCTAGCAATTAAAGTAAGATAACAAAATCGACTTTTACTCGAATTGAAATGTTCAAGAGACATTTCAATCGATTTATCATGTATTTTGAATAAACCGTTCATAAGTTTATATTAATTTTATCTTGTTAATAATATAAAAAAAATGCAATAAAATTTTTAAAATGTTTTAGCTTGTTATTTGTTATTAAAGGTATTCAATTGTAACGAAATTTACAAAAAAAGGTTTGAGATCAAACAACTGACCAAAGTGAACACAATCAACACCAATTTGTCATTAATTCACAACAAAAACCCTTTCCACACTTTAACGCCTCGAAGTAACATCATTCGATATCGACACAGGTCAATATTCTGATTCTTTTCCATTGCCACTGTCCTTTTAGTCTTTTACGAGGTTTGTAGGTCATTTCGCTCTCTATCTCTCTCTCTCTTTCTCACTGGTCATCTTCTCATCTCTGTCTCTGTGATGAGCATCATCATTTCATAAGAAAATGATGAGAATGGCCACTTTGATTCATTCAATTGTCCATCTTGTCCAATTTTTTGTCACCTTTCTGAAGAGATGTTCATCTTATTACAATTGATCAAGAACGGATATTGATCAATAAATTGTCAAGCAAACATATTTAATGAAGATATAAGAGATTAGAAGCTAATCTAAAATAAATATCAGAAAAGAAGACCAATTTGTTTGATGCTTTTTTATTCTTCATCTTCTCTTTACCGTTATCTCGATGTCGAGAAGAAAGAAGTAAAAAAGTATTCTAAAGAGAACATATTCCATTTACATTATTTGAAAAACAATGAATAGTTATCCCAACGATTCAATAATTAATCCAATCCGCTCTTTTTATTATTATGATAATCCATATACAACATGGTTACCACCACCTGCTGAACCTTTAATCCATCCAACTTTGACACATTATGAAACACCAGAAATAGTGACAACACTTTCATCAACATCACAAGAGCATCTCAAAGTATCAGAAAGTGATCCTCGGAATTCACCTGTAACCAATTGCGATGCTCTATCACCTTTAAATGGCAATAATGGTCAATCAAATCCTCACAATGGTGACAGTTCAAGCTTAATCCAAGACCATTCTACCTTAATTAACGTCGACGTGCAACCTTCAACCAATTCAAATGGTTCATCTTCTGAAACTTCTAATGCCAATAGTAAAAAGCGAGAAAGTCGAGTTTTATTCTCAAAAAATCAAACCTACGAATTGGAGAAACGTTTCTGTCAACAGCGATATTTATCAGCTCAAGAGCGTGAGATTTTAGCGTCAACCATACGACTTACGCCGACTCAAGTGAAAATTTGGTTCCAAAATCATCGTTACAAGACGAAAAGAGCTCGACAAGAAAAGGGTCTAGATGTTAATCCACTTCCATCTCCTCGTCGAGTGGCCATTCCAGTTTTAGTTCGAGACGGTAAACCATTTCCAACCTCTTCTTCAACCGGATCGGGTTCGGGATCATCTTCAACATCGTCGTCAATGAAAAACGACATTTCTCGTTGTAACACATTCACCCATTTAGAAATCGGTGGCAGTGCAAATGGTGGGACACTTCACGGAATCGGTGGTATTCTCAGTTCGGTGGATCCATATCCCATGGTTCCATGTCTAAACTCATCCACAAACGGTTTGATCGCCGAGTCGTCTACTCCCGTTTCCTTATCCAACGAGATTATGAGATTCAATTCTTACAGCTACTTACCTGGAGGAGGAAGTGTTGTGAATGGAGGTACAAACCTACAAATCCTTCAGGCGATTCAATTAGATTCAGAGCCATGTGGAAATGGTTTCAATTCAGCCCTTCATTATCCGCCCACGTTTTATTCATGCAATTAAATTAAGATAAAAATCAACCTTTACTTGGATTGAATACCTTATGATTCAATATGAATGACCATTTCAATCAATTTATTATGTATTTTGAATAAACCGTTCATAAATTTATATAATTTTATCGTGTTAATATTAATAATATAAAAAATTAAATAAATGTTTTAAACTGTTGGTGGTTATTAAAGGTATTCAATTGTAACGAAATTTACAAAAAGGTTTGAGATCAAACAATTGACCAGAGTAAACACAATAATCAACACCAATTTGTCGTTAATTCAAATTCAATTGATTAATCATTCAATTACCTTTTTCTTTGGTTTTCTTATCCTAAGTACTTGTAACCGATCGCTTTCAACAATTTACTTTATATTTAATTTCTTCTCTTCTTCTTGTTGGTCAACAATGACCATTGAAAATTAGCACTGTTTTAGGAAGGGTCAATTATAACAATAACATTGTTCCTATTGAAAGGACACAACAAAACCCTTTTCACTTTCACACCTCGAATATAAAGAAACCTGAATAACAAATTCGATATCGACACAGGTCAACATTCCGATTCTTCCATCGCCACTGTCCTTTAGTCTTTACGATGCTGTAGGTCATTTCGTCATCTCTCTCTCTCTCTCTCTCTCTCTCTCTCACTGGTCATCTTCTCATCTCTGTCTCAGATGAGCATCACATTTACAAGAAAATGATGAGAATGGTCACTTTGATTCATTCAATTGTCCATCTTGTCCAATTTTTTTGTCACCTTTCTGAAGAGATGTTCATCTTATTACAATTTATCAAGAACGGATATTGATCAATAAATTGTCACTTTCTCTTTTTCATATAATTTTGACAACAATTAACAAATCAAATCACCTTTGTTCGCATAGATAACACTTTATCCACCCTCTATATTCCTCCAAACCGTACAATGTGGCGACTAAGTCCACTCTTGCAAGTATACACGAAATTAATCCAGTTTGATACACACGTATAGAATAAAGTTCTGTGATATTACGACATATCTTTGAAATTATGACCATTATTGGTCAGCCACATTCACTGTCTACATTCAGTAAATGGTTTCGCAGGGAAGTTCCACCATCGCCCTAGTAGTATTCAGAATTAGACAAAGCATATGATAATTCTCGAATCAGCCCGTCCGTCTGAACCAAAGTGTGTCTTGCGTCATGTTCTATGAGCTAGAACCTCCGGTCGACATATACGAGTTGATCTGGGAGTAACGTCTACTGCTCTTACATTAACTGCTAAGAGGTAACCGTTCCTCATTCATCACCTTAGTCAATATCTACTCTCGTTCACTCATTGGTATCTCTCTCTCTCACCTGGCTCTTTCTCTCTCTCTCATCTCTTGAAGTTCTCTGACCTCAGGGTCACTGCATTCAAACAAATGGACTCTTCGGGATCTGGCTTTCACACCTCTCCGTCAGAATAGGTCCTTTCAGAAGAATGTCTGACTGCCAATGGTTGAACGTCTCCACTGATAAATTTCAAATCCATCATGTCACTAATTAGATGACGAGGCATTTGGCTACCTTAAGAGAGTCATAGTTACTCCCGCACACTTTGATTCATTCAATTGTCCATCTTGTCCAATTTTTTTGTCACCTTTCTGAAGAGATGTTCATCTTATTACAATTTATCAAGAACGGATATTGATCAATAAATTGTCACTTTCTCTTTTTCATATAATTTTGACAACAATTAACAAATCAAATCACTTTAATATCGTAATAACATCTTCCGCAATATACTCTAACCTTGTTTTTACACTTCGATGTTTAATAATTGTCCAGTGAACTCCAATTGATCGTTTATTTGGCGACATCAATGCTTGAATTCAATCAGCTTCAGGAATACAACTACTGGTCAATATCAATGAAAACTTTACTCAATAAAATTTTATTAGGATCCTTGCGGATACATTGATTTAACATTTGTACCACAGTTTATTTGCTGTGGCTCATCCTGAGGAGGAAAAGGTGTACCAGACCACTTGATGGGGGTTATAAGATGAACAATAATGATGAACAAAATTGATTTTTAAATTTACAGATAAAGTTAATTAAATTAGAATCTATCAGGAGCGAAAAAAGTTAAACTTTCCTCTTGAACTCATAGAATAAGTGGAATAAGTGGCGCCATCTTGTGGTAAAGAACTCGACTATCCACTTTGATGGAAATGATATTAAAGAATTGATTGTCAATAATTGAAAAAGTTATTTTGCAGAATCAGAATCAGAATTGTTGATGTGAACTTCAATCATTACCATATGCTTCGAATATTTCGAAAGATCGAAAAGAATAATTCTATCATGAGAGAAATGCAACAGAATCGAATCGTTTATTACCACAGTTAACCAATGAATTTTTCATCTCCATTCACCTCGAAGCAATAAAATTGACGAGAATTTATCGACAATTTATCCTAAATTTTGATTCAGGTGAAATAAATATTTGAGTTTACATGTAGACTTATTTAATTGTTGCAATTTCAAAGTAAATTGTAAATTTCCAGCCCGACAGTTTGATAAAGATCACAAATCAATCGTAAAAGTTGAGTTATCATCCAACGGTTTGAGCTCGAAGTCAAAGTAACGATAATACAACAATTAATCCAATCAGCTCTTTATACTATTATGATAATCCATATTCAGCATGGTTACCATCAACTGAACCTTTACTTTATCCGACATTGAATTACGACACATCAGAATTGAATCGTGACACAGTGACAACACTTTCATCATTAACATCCCAACAGCATCACTATCAACAGTCACAATCACAGCAAATTTTTACAAACACACACCAGAATCATGTTCATCACCACCATTAACACCAACAGCAACTAATCAATCATCATCTTCATTTTATCATCCACCTCCCTTACCACTGTCAACTTTCAGTGAACAAAATCCTTTCTATCCAATAAACCAATGAGAAGCAAGAAAATATCCAATTAGTCAAGGTAAAGAAAACCAACATTAAACATATTACTTGGACTTACAATTTTCGAACTCGTAACCTTTAGAAGAATCAAAAGAAGAAACGATTCGAACGCTGATTTAAATATAATGTTTATCTCTTGAGAATTTCTCATATCGGCCTAGTGGCCCAACGGATAAGGCGTCTGACTTCGAATCAGAAGATTGCAGGTTCGAATCCTGCCTGGGTCGAGATTATTTTTGTTTCTTCTTTTTTATTTGTATTGAAAATTTTTTCTTTCCATCCAAAAGTGAAAGCGAAATTTTCTCACAATTTCACCTAATTGAAGGCGAAATATTTTCCATATAAATCTAGAATCGAAATGAGATTAAAATTAAATCGATATCAATAAAGATTATAACATCTTCCCTTTTCATAATATTGCACATACACATGGGCAGTAAATCTGATTCAATTGACTGAAACTGAGTAAGAAAAAAAAAACTATTAACAGATATTAATATTTTTCGTAAACATTATTATTAAATCAGAAAATGTGAATAGATAATCAAAACAATTAAATAAAAAGCGGGTGGTTGACCTTGGGTCAAGAGGTCGTGTGACATAAAACATATACAGATATACATAAATGAAAATACATATAAACATGATGATGATGATAAACTAATCGTACTAATGTATTTCCATTAACAATAAACCACTTTATTAGTATTAGTGGATATTATTATTAGTTGATTATTATTGTTCACAGATCAATTCCCTTTACCTGTCCAAGAGATTTAATAGTAAAATCTATGATTAGCTATCGGTTTTGTGATTCTAATTCCATGAATAACATGTAATCCCGAATAAATGGACTTAATCATTATTATTATTTTCTATTTGTTTATCTTTCGACTCTAGAAAAGTAAATTTATTTCTGAATCTCATGTCTCTGGATAGAGAAAGAGAGAGAGAGAGAGAGAGAGAGAGAGAGAGAAAATATCTTTTACCTATAAGGATTAGAACTTTTTTCTTCTTCTTCTTGTTCGCCTTCAACTTATCCGCTTCTCTATTTTTTTTTCTTGTTATTTTCCTGTTTACAAATTCGAGTGGCTGACAAAAAGGGAATAATGTTGATGATTGTGAAAGAGAAGTTGAACAAATTATCGCAATTCGCGCAAAACCAGAGGTCATGTTGATGTTGCAATTAATTAATTGCGAATCTGAACAAGCCAAACAGTTAAGAAGTTGATTACATTGGGAAACAAATTCAGAGGTAAAATAAACTTCCGATGAAAATGATGATGATGATGATGATCTGTTAAATATCCAATAGTGAAAGTGACCAATGATAATAATAGTTTGTTTTTACTCTGATAACCGGAAATTGACTATTGATTTACTTCCGAATGGGACTAGTAAAAGTTATCTCTCTTAAAGATGATGAAAACTTTTAAAAACATCAATCATCTGATCAATTTGAAAAAAAAAGATGAAGATGAAGATGAGGATAACTTATTTTAAGGTGATAACTTTAACTCCTCACTTTGTGGTAAAAGTGATTTGATTTAAGACACGATTATATTTAAATTGGATTCGTTTGAGTTTCCTAGCTAATTGATGACTTGTGGTGAATCTCATGATGATGAGGATGACGATGATAATGATGCTGTTGATTAGATGACATTGAGAATAGAAAATGTCTTGTTAATTTCAAGCTGATTCCAAAATGATTCTCATTGATTATCTACATGTATAAGTTACATGTCGATGTGATCATCCAATATTCAGTTTCTCATTCAGATCAACTGAAACATGATGATGATGATGATGATGTATGAAGGTGATAATTAGTTGATTGTGTTGAAATATAATAACAAATAATCTGCTTCATGTTAATCTCATGTCTATTTATCATGAAAGTGTAATAAGAAAACAAATTTTTACTCTTGATAAACATTTTGGAAACTGTTCAAATTGTTGTGAATAGATTAACAATTTATTGATTATGGTTCGATTATCATATCAGAATTTATTGATTCAATTTTTGTGAGTTTCTGTCTTAATCATTTTCACATGGTGTTATTATTATTATTATGAGTTATTACAATTTGTTGATGAGACAATTAATCATTAATTGATTGTTTGTATTTGCTTGCCAAGTTAATCTTTGTTAATTGTTTCAAGTTTTAAAATGAAATTAATTTAGAGGGAGGAAAAGGTTTGATTGGGTTAACCGTTTCAAGTTTAATTATTTAATTGATTTGCAGTTGTTGTTTAAGTTAATTAAATGCCAGTGATGAAACGATTAAGATCAAAAGACTGAATCGATGAGCCAAGAAACGTTGAAGTTGATGGATAAGGGAAAGGATGAGGATTATGATGATGATGATTAGGTGATAATGATGATGAGGATAAACTGTAATGATGATGATGATGATTAGAAAGATAATTAGTTGAAGTGATGTTACCACTTCCTCCATTTGATCCGTTAAGTGTTGAATGAACGAGACAATCTTGTTGTAAGGTTTTCCTTTTTGTTTTATAGCGACGATTTTGGAACCAAATTTTCACCTGAGTTTCGGTTAATTTTAATGAAGATGCAAGGTCACTTCGTTCGGGTCCCGATAGATACTTTTGTAGACTAAAACGTTTCTCAAGTTCGTAAACTTGAGCGTGAGTGAAAGCGGCTCGAGTCCGTTTCTTACGGATCTTGGATGAAGTTTGTGAATGTGAAATTGATGATGAAGAGGAAGTCCCGTTAATCGATGATGATGAACCTTGATAACCACGAGAATGGTGATGATGATGGTGATGGAGTAATGAACGATGGTGACCAAGATGTGGATGGTGGTGGTGTTGAAGTGTAGAAGGTGTTGTTGGTGGAGGTTGTTGTTGTTGTGGTGGTGGTGGTGGTGGGGGAAGATGAGGTGGATTAAGGTGAATATTATGTTGACCGTTAATTTCCGGTATCGAATGATGGAGATGTGGGGAAAGGGATGAAGGAGAAGAAGATGAGTTTAATGGAGTTGATGAGGATGAAGATGGAGATGAGGAAGAGGATAGAGATGATGTTGGGTGGGGTGGGTTGGTTTTACCACCGCTATCGATTGAAGATGAGCACTTCCCTTCAGGACAATCTGTCAAAACATTAAGAAGGGAAAAAAAGTTCTGTTAAAAAATGGACATGAAACGATTAGCTGAGTCGTCATCATCATCATCATCATCAACATAATCGCTATCAACAAGATCATCATCATCAAAACGTTGAAAGATTGTTGATGTTTTTTATTTTGATGATGAAAAATTAACTGACAATTAGTACAATCAAAAGGATTAGTTAATCATTTATCATATTAGTTAAAGTTGTCATCTTTTTTTTTGTCGTCCAATGTATCAAATAACATTGTAAATGATTCCAAGTCATTGCTCTCAACTGTTAATCTTTGTCATGTTTATGCAAATATATGAAAAAGATTAGGAATTAAATTGATGAGATAATCTCAATTAAGATTAGAGTCTTGAGACTATTGATTATGATGATGACGATGATGATGATGATGATTGTAATTGTGATACAGATAAATTGATACATCGCAACTTCCTGTTCAATTTGTGAACCAAATGGACGCTATTGTATTAATCTAATCAATTGATGACTGATTGTCACTACGATCAACAATCGTGAACATGATCATAACCATTAATGTATCATTATAATCAGGAAAATGAAGATTAACTAATGTCATTAACTAATGATGAGCCGATGAAAAGATTTCACTTTGTAACAATTAACTTCCCTGTTTCCACAGATATGATTAGAGAGACAAAAATTTTCATGAGAACTCAGAGTTTCCTTTCAACAATCAATAATAATAATAGAAAATAGTTCAACAATCATGAGAAGATAATTAAAACAGAGAGAGAGAGAGAGAGAGAGAGAGAGAGAGAATGACAAATAAAATAGTCAATCAATTCATATCCGGAAAGATCAATTAACTAATTGTGGATAAACAATTTCGACCATCGAAATTGTTACAACTAAAAAAACTTAAAGGTAATTCAGTCAATCTAAATCCAAATGATTAACTAATATGATTAACGCCTATAACTCACAAATCACTGATTAAGTGATTCAATGATTATTGAAAACACTTGAAGCTTATAACTGATACAATCTAAATTGAAATTGTTGTTATCAAATTAATGTTCACAATTTAAGTTTTATAGGTTTAATTATCATTCTCACTATTAGTTAATCATTAGGTTAATATTCATTATATTATATAGGGAATGCTTTTTTCTCAAAGATTATCATGAAAGATTCTGAGGGCGGAACTGAAATATTAACATGAGATGTTATCAGAATTTGCTGAATTTATCTTGATCACTTTTCAGTGTTTTCTTATATATAGTTGAAACATTGAAAACGTTTTGTTTCAAATTAAATGTGACAAGTTAACAAAATTAAACGTTGACCATTTTATCATTATCATTATCATCATCAATTTGTTTGTCCATCTAGTGTGACTAAATTGTTTTCAGGGTGGGTTTCAATTCACTTGTCCATGTCCACTAGTAAAGTGACAGAAACAACTTGTTGATATTTGAACTCATGTGAAAACTTTTTTCTTAAACATTAATATCAATAGGGAAGACCCTGTAATTGTGAAAAGGATCAAGATGAAAAAGTAAATCATCCTCATCTTCATCCTCATCATCTTCTTGTCAACAATGTGTAAAATTATGGTTATCATCATCATCGTAATCAATAGTCTAGTAGTAAACTCTGTCCATTGTCAAAGTGTCACAAACCCAAGGGTTAACAAAAGTATCGGTCATTTCCAAGTGACCATCCAGACACTTTGTATATATACTATGTGTGTGTGTGTGTGGGATCAACATCGTTAGAAAAGCTCGAGAATCTCAACTGACCAGCAACTAACTAACTGTAAAATTGACCACAAAAGGCAAATTTGAACCATTTACATGATTAGTTAGCTAAAAGTGACCATGTAATATAATCAAATTTAAATAGCACAATTAACGGGCCAAATAAACACAACAACGTAAATCTTTTGACCTCCAATGTTTCAAGTTTACATTTAGATGATTGTTAAAGTTTCTCAATGGTTGAAATTTAGAGGATTAAATGATGTTACAGTTGAGAAAGCGGAGGATTAACTTGATTATCTTGATTATTTCCATAGGATTGTTTATAATTAACTATACATTTAACTGTTTTCAAATACGAAATCGGGATCAACAAAACAAAAAAAGATGAGGATGAAAACCACAAAAACAAGATGAAGATGATGAAGTAAATACAGTAGCTTATAGTTTTAAATTAACTTAAACAGCATCAAATTACTTGGAGCAATTAGTTATCCATTAGTATTGAAGTTTACACTTGAATGGGTACAGAAAATTAGTTGATTATCAGGAGCAAATAATCAATTCATGAAGACGATGATGATGGTTAACCTGAAGGCTAAATAGACTGACCTGATCTCAACAAGTTAACCTGGTAATTAATCATCATTACCATAGAGAATCAACAATTTAAACAGCTGATAATGATGATGATGATGATTAAAGAGATGATAATTATCACAAGATGGAAAGCTTGAAAGTGGATTATCTGATTATCTATCATTTGATTATTATCAATGATACCTGTTGATTATATGGATTAACATAAATCTTGGATCAATTTTCACAGGTATCAAGTTTAATTTTAAGTTAATCAATACTGATTTTTTGGCATTCACGATAAAATTATGATTAGTTAATCATCTTGATTAATGTTTTCAACTTACGGATTGGTGAAGGATAAAGGAGATGATCTGTTGATGGTAACCAACGAGAATAGGGATTATCGTAATAGTATAAAGGTAAATGGTTAACTGGATTAGGTGAGATTGATGGATTAGTTTGATTGTTATTTGATTCTCTGTCGATTGGTGATGAAGAGGAAGAAGAAGATGAAGATGATGATGATGAGAATGATGGTGATTCCTCTGATTTAATTGTGATCTTATTTGGTTGATTAACTTTCGTTGTAGATGAGTAGCAATTATCATGATTATCAGTTGATGATTTAATTGTTGGTGAAACTTTTGCTGTTGATGAAGTTGATAAATTGTTTGGACAGTTTGATTTCTGTTTATTTGTTGGTAACTTCAATATATCCGATACACTGAAACCAATTGAAACTTTGGCACTTGAACCAATCTCATCAATGCTGTCGATAGACATGATTAAATTGTTAAACTAAATTGTAATTTAAAAAAAAACAATCAATCGATCAAATCAATATGAGTAAATGATAATCCACAATCGTCAATGATTATTATTCAATGTATTCATTGGGATGTTTTGATAATCAAACAGAATAGTAAATTTACTTGGAAACAATTGAATGTTGATTGTTACTCTTAATTATCGTGATGATAGTTAACACTTTGTTAAAGAATTGAGAATATTATTATAATACAATTATTAAGATAATCAAGCAGTGATTAAGAAATAAAGATGAAGTATCTTCTTGGAGAGATGAGGATGAGGATGAAAAATTGTTTAGATGTTGAGTGAGATGGGAGGAGTAATCGCCAGGGAGTTTACCTCCTCCTATTGGATTATCTGATTAATTTACCAGAGAGAGAGAGAGAGAGAGAGAGAGAGAGAGAGAGAGAGAGAGAGAGAGAGAGATGAAGATGAAGATTTCAAATGGATCAACTGATTGACATGATTAAGAAAAAAATCTTATAAATATAGTTACTCTAATTGGGAGAGTAATGAGAAAAACTATTTTACACTTACAATTTAAAGTAACAACAAGTTAATTGAAAACAATTTACAATCAAATTGGTAAATAATTAAACGTTTTTACAAGTTAATTTGCTTCAAGATTTTAGTGTAATAGGAAACAAATTGTTTGACTTGATTGAGGATTCTTGAGATTATCCTTTACTCTTGCCCCGCCTTTGAACCGTATTGGTGATTTACAGTTAGACTTTACTGGAGGTGGGAAAATGGGAGGAGGAGTGGGTAAGGTTTATGGTGGGTAACGAAAGACACTGAGTGGGAAAAAGGCGGTAACCAGGATAATACCTTTATCCTGGTGTAAGAAAGTGGGTTGAAACTAAATCTATTACTTTGTGAGTGGAAGAGGAAGAGAAATAAACAATTAACTAAATCAGTCTTTCGATCATTTCAAGTTTATTATAATACTAATGGACAATCAACTAATTGTACGATCAATTATCACCAACACAATTACTGAAAAAGGAAAGAGCGAAGAGAGGAAACAAATTACTAATCATTTTCAGACTCTTAAATGTTAATTGTTACAATTAAACTTGATTCAATATTAAAGTGGCTTCTATTGAGTGTGTGTATATGGTTAATTAATGATCAACTTTTTATCAGCTAACAATTAGTCTAATTGTTATACTTTTAAAGGGTTGGATTGAAATTAGTTACATTTGTATAGTTTTATTTTTTTTTGTTACTTCATTTTCATTGATCAACCACAACAATTAACTAAATTAACATGATGATGATAAAGATGAGGATGAAGATGATCAATGTAATCTAATTAATTGAGTAGGATGATTGATTTAAAGTGATATTTGTAATTTTAAATTGTGAAACTTGTAAATCATAGACAGAAACATTGAACCGAAAATAATGATTTATCATATTGAGATCTTTTTAATCACAATTAGAATCACAATTATCTTTAAAATGAAATGACTATTAACACTGTTTATTCACACTTTCAGGATGATCAGGGGGGAGAGAGTGAGAGATATGAGAGATAATTCAGATTCTCAGAATTAATCTACTAAAAATTACGGATAAGAAAAAATGAAATGAAAAATCAACTAATTTAGTTAATATAATTTAAAAGGAAAAACATTTAAACAAAATATGATTTCAAATACAAATCAAGGTGGGAAGTGAATATGATATTATCCAAGCCCTCAGGGCTAATATTTAGCATCTTCAGGTGATGATGATGATGATCATCATCATCATCACTAATGGAGGTAAGTTAAAGCTCATAAATCATAATTTAAAAACCTTTCAAATTGTTAACTGATAACATACCTGAAGAAACTGAATTTACCTGGAAAATAATTTTCTTCAAATTGTTAATTATTCATTTTGTGTTTATTATTATTTAATTTTTCTCTTTCTCTCTAACAACTAATTAACTTAATTGTTATCATTGTGGCTTTTTAACTGTGATAATATTGTTGTTAATTGTTGTTACCTCAATGGTGATAATCATAATTCATATTAATAATGAAAACTTTTTTTTTGTATTAACTAATTAACACTTAACACAAATGATATTTAATCCTTACAAATAATTAACCTTCTAATGGTTAAAAGTTTCTAATTACTTGATTGATTTGATTGTTGATTAATTTTCATTTAAATTGTTGTTTCTTTACAAAATATTTATAAAATTTTGTTGATATTTTACTCATAATTTACCCTCAGGGCTTTTGTTTAAAGTTATTCATTTAGTTTATATTGATTATATTGATTTAGCTTTTGTCTTATCAGAATATTAATTTTTTTTATCAAATTCACTTCCAAATCATTTTTTTTTATCATAATTTTTATATAAATATTGTAAATATATATACGGGTGATTATAATAATAATTAGCACAATTATCATAATTTACAATTAGCACTTTTTGATTAGCTAATTACAAATTATTATTATCTTTTCTCAATCAAATGATACAAATTGCGGTTGCGTTTTTGATAGAAATTTTTTTTTCCAGTTCATTACATTGATGATTAATTTAATTTGGGGAAAATTGTTTGTTCTAATTAAACAATTTAATTGGTTTTAAAATTTTTATTTTCGGTTTCGATTCAACATCGACTGGTGAATTTGAAATTGGCGGTTTTCGATTTTTAGTTCTCCTGGAAAAGTCTAGATGGAGCTACTTTTCGAATTTTTGGCGGTTCAGTTTGGAGAATCAAGAACGTAAACAAAGATTTTGGTTTTCTTGTCAATTGTTGAAAATTATTTTTCTTTAATTAATATTAACATTTTGTGATATTCTTATTTATTTTATTTTATTCTACTTCATTATGGCTCCTTCAAAGTCACCCGGTAAATTTTCACCACATTTAATGAAACCTTCAGATATTTTTGGTAAAAGGAAAAGGAAATGTTCACCTTCAACTCTTCTCAGTGAATCTGGACCAAGAAAGAAGTTATTTGTTTCTCCATTAAAGTGTATTAATTTTAATTCTCCAGCTAAAGCTTATAAAAGTCCTAAAACATCTAGAAGAAAGGGAACACCAAGAAAAACACCGAAAAAAACACCACGTAAAATTGTTACCGAGGAATCTTCGGTTCCATTAAGTGATCTTATAGATGAAGACGCCAATATTGAGGCTCCTTCAAGTGAGTTTTTTTCAGTTCTGTTTATTTTACTCAATCTATTTTTGATTCTTTTTATCAACAACAACAAGAAAATATTTATAATGTCAAAATGTTTTTCTTTTTCTTCTCTGCCTCTTTCTTGTTTTACTCTTTAGTTTGTAAAAAGGAAAAAAATGGCGGACTCACACGTATACCAATCGATTGGACTTTGAAAACTAGACTTCGTTTTTTCAGCTATAAACCTTTTCCTTATAAAGGTTATTTCAGTGCTACTGAAAGTGCCACTGGAACCTCTTCATTTGTCCGTTGTACACCAACAACATTCCCTCAAGACACGACACAAAAATCAACAACATTAAAACCTTCCCTTTCATCATCTTCTTTAATGTCAACCAGTGACACAACGAAAACTGTTGCTATAAGTGCTGCAGCTCTATTGAAGAAACATTGTTTCGTTTGGAGATATCCTCATCTTCCTGGTTTTGATTTATTTCCAAGGATAAATAATCGATGTAAATTGGCACCAATAAGTCGTCCAATGAGTGAAGATTTACTCCAAGAATATTGTTCTAGTTTTAAAGACTTGTATGATCTTATTCGAGCAAGACAGTGTGCGTACTTTTATCTATGCGCTCATTCATTTACTGCACTTTTTCAAGCACCAGGAGTCGGTGGAATTGATGAGATCCATGTATATATAACACCGACTACCGATGGATTTAGGAAAATGCTCAAAGAAGAAGGTATTGAATTTTCCATGCCACTTTTGGAAAAAGAGATTGAACTTTCAAAAGAAGAAGAAAAAGCCGACGAAGAAAAGGAAAAAGCTTTAAATGAAGAAATTTTCGGACCTTCGTAAGTAGATAAACTTCTCTCAACAAATGATCGATCTAAGTTGTTTAATATTCTCTTTCTCTTCTAATTAATAGAATGCTCGATGAAGACGAAGATGCTTCAAATTTTCTCGAAAGTATTGGTGTTAGCATACAAGAATCTTCATCCATCAATAAACCCAAAAGAACCAAAAAGTAAATTTCTAATCCAATGTTAAACTTTTTACTTTCTTCTTTGTTTCAACACAAACTAATCAATTGATTGTTTATCTTTATCCTTTTCTCCTTACAGTTCAGTGAGAAAAAATGTCAACTCCACTCTAGTTTTAATCAAAGGATCGAACGCTCAAGATTTGATTCCATTTTTATCAAATTCCAAGATAATTCTCAAAACAACCGGATCACTCGCCTTTGTACCACCGACTCTTTTGGCCCCAGTCGCTTTTGAAGGAGCTCAACTTCATTTTCTCAAATTAAAGCAAAACAATATGTCCGAAAAAGCCGCATCAATGTACAGTCTTGAAATTCGAGGGCCAATATTACCCAATATGGTGGACAGTTTATGTGAATTATTTAAAGAAACCATTGGCGATTTTACCGCTAATCTTGTCAATTACGATTATTGTTCACCAATGGCGACCGTTCATTCAATCGACAAGGATGATGATAGTAAAGATGAAACCAAAGTGATCTTTGCCTCTGAAAGTCTACATGATTGTGGATTAGAACAACAATTAATACAAGATTTATGCTCTAAAACTAATCAAAGCAAAATCAGCCATTCATCAATTAGCTGCAAAGGTGGAAAATTTTTTGTAAATTGACAATAAGCTTATCAATTAATAGTTTATTTTACAATTTAATCAACACTTTAACTAAAACAAAAAAATCTTATTTACTTGAAGCTGAATCAATTTGTTTGAAATTGAACAAATTAATTATCAAATATGATGATGATGATGATGATGATAGTAATTAACGGGAATATATTAACTCATTAGATCAAATCTATTTACATGATGTAATCAAATTAGTAATAATTTGTTACAAAATTGTAAAACTGTAAAAATATTTTCTCATGATGACAATTTTAATCATAAGTAGTAACATTTTTAACCCACTCAATTGTCAATCTATCGTTTTCTCAATCACTGTTTAGTTAACTTAATTGTTCAAGAAACGAATTGAAAAAATTGCAATTATTGTAAATACTTGTACTTTTAAATATCAATCAACTAAACGATCACCTTAACAACGTTCAAATTATATAATCAACGTTTCTTCAAGAACAAAAATAGTTAATCACTTAATCTCATTTAATTGTAATTTAATCAACAAATCAAACCATCATCATCATCATCATCCCATCAACATTAACTAATCTTTGATTATATTTTTTAAATCAATTGTGGTTCTCAAATAATGATTGATTGTAATGGTTAATATAATTGTAACTTATTTTTATTTATTATTTTTTTTTCTCGTTGTATTAATACAATTTAAACCGATAAACAGCAAAATTGTTACCAAATGATTTACTTAACAATTGACAATGAATTGTAACAATTTAAAAACACACATTATCCTTACAATGAGACAATTTAATGTAATATAATTACAACTTGAAATGATTTAGCCCTTGATTGAAGTAATAAGATTAATTGTGATACAATTTGTAAGTATCATTGAAAATGAACAATTTGATTTGAATTGCGTTTTCTTTTCTGATGATTTAGCAATTAAACGATTGTTATTAATCATTTTGAAAACAAATAAGCACCTTAATAGTAAATCAAGATGATTAGTTGATCATTAAATTGTCTTAACTGTAAATTGTAACTCTTTGATTGATTGACGATGAATATTTCAATTTACACGTTGATTTATCAACTAATTACATTTTCTGCTAATTTTATTCAACAAGAGCAACAATTTAGACAATTTATCAAAGTTTACAATAAGAATTACACTTTTAATTCATCTGAATATTGGCATCGATTCACAATCTTTCAGGTAAGAAAACAATCAAACCCTAATTGCTTAATTATCTTAATTACAAGAAAATTTTCTTCCAATTCAATTAATTAATTGTAAACAGAGATCAATTGAGAAGATTAAAAATCTTAACAATCAACGTAAACATCCAAACAGTGCTTTGTTTGGATTAACTCCTTTTACTGATTTAACTTTGACAGAATTTAAGAGTAAAGGTAAACAATTAACCTAATCAACTAAATTAAATTGTTACACACGAAAAGTGATTAATATTTGTGTTTTTATTTTTTCTTCACAATTTCAATCAGTTATTAAAACGATTGGTAAACGTTATAAGCAACGAAATGACGTTACAGGCTCCAAACGATTGTTATTATCATCATCTCAATATAATGGTAACAATTTAACTAATCAAGATGATGGTGATTTAAGTATGGACAAGATAATTAAAACTCTTCCACCTCAAGTTGATTGGAGGTCAAAGGGTATAATTGGTAATGTAATTGCTCAAGGTAAATGTGGCTCTTGTTGGGCTCACACCGTTACCGAAACAATTAGCTCAATGGTTGCACTGGAAACAAATAAATTCACCAGATTAAGTGCTCAACAATTACTTGATTGTTCAGATAATAATTACGGTTGTAACGGAGGTGACCTTTGCGAAGCCTTAAATTGGATTGTGAAAAATAACGTCACCCTATTAAAGGAAACAGATTATCCTCTTAGACTGGACTCTGGTCAGTGTCGTCAACCCAATATAACCAATGGAGTTCAAATTGAATCCAATTTCACTTGTCACCGGTAAGTATTACATGTTGATATTATTTACCTTCATTTACAATCAGATAATATACTAATTAATTGGCTAATTAGACAAACTGGACACGAGGAAAATATGTTACAGTTAATTGCTAATCATGGACCTTTAATGGCCGCCGCCGATGCGTCAATATGGCAACACTATGTTAATGGTACTATTCACGAAAATTGTGGCCAAGATGCCAACCACGCAGTCCAAATTGTAGGCTACAATTTGCAAGGTAATCATTAAATCATAATAATAAAAATATCAACACACACATATATTAATTAACTCATTAATTGACCATGAAATGGTCTTGTAAAAAAATCAATCAATTGATATTCATCACATAAACACCTTTATCAATCAACTACAATCGTAATTGTAACTCACCTTTTCCTGTTCCGTTCATGTCTGACTGATATTACTACACTCATTCACCAATTTGTTAACCTTACTATCAGTGAATTATTATTATTATTTGTTTTACTCTAATTTTTATCTTACTTTTTGTATCTTTTAAATTGTTTACCGTTGATTAGATGATATCCCTTATTATATTGCTCGTAATACTTGGGGTACCAATTGGGGTATGGATGGTTACCTACAGATCGCTATTGGTAACAATACATGTGACATAACGGCGGAGGTTTCAGCGGTTTGGATTAAATCAATTGATTGAGACCGGAAAAACTAATAACGATCAATTTATCACCGAAAGTTCATTTACCGTTACAAAGATAACTGTTTACCTGTAACAACCAATCAACAACAAAACTTGTTCCAAACTTGGAAACTGAAAATCAAGTTCAATCCTTTTTTTTTCTTCCTCTTCATGATAACCATCATATTCATCATTACATATCATCATTACTCTTCACAGAATCAGCTGAAAATCATCATCATGTAGTTCATTTAGTGAGAGATAAAATTAAAGTACCATTTTTTTGTTCCACCAAAGAAGCAAAAAACCGATGAAACAACAACACGAGAAGAAGAGAAAATCATTTCTACTGAACTTTTTTTTCTTTTTCAGAATTTTCATCATTTATCTCTTACGTTTATCATGTTAAAAACTGAAATTCTACGAAAAAAAAAATTCATTACCACACTAAATTTACTCTCACCATTGAATGATCATTAAATAATCTATTAAATTGATAATAGTAAGTGGGTTTCTCTTGATTAATCTACTGTACATGATTAGAACATGAGATGATCATGGAGCAATTCGAGTGACAGAATAGAAACAAAAATCTTTGGTTAGAAATCACATCTATTCAGTTTCAAGTGAATTATTTGTTTCCATTTTATTTCATCGTTCTCCCTGTTTTCTTGATAAAATCATTACCCTTCAGGGAATCAGAATAACTTGATAGTTCATCAAACAAAGTTCCAAGCAAAGATAAACAATAAATGTTTCTCATGACAAGAAGGAAAAAGTTCTGTTCTATTTCAAATGTGTAGAATGTCCCAAGTTTTTTTCTAAATACTATCATATTCTTTAAGCATTTGGACCTCAGAGTTTGGTTCATATTCGACTCTTCAAAGTCATTCTAGTTCTTCCAGAACTTATATATAAGTTACTTTCAATGTCATTCGATGATCGGAATTCTGTTGAATTATTTTCAAAGTTTTCGAGGTTATTAATGAAGCCATTTTCTTTTTATATATTTATATTTGAGTCTTATCATTTACCTCAATGTGCTATTAATATATGAAAGTTCAGATTGGCGCCTGAGTAATTCATGCTGGTGAGACAAAAAATGAAATCAAACTCAGAATTTGAATACTGCTGATTGATTTGATTCTCAGTAAACTTATATTTACTTTTTAAGTTTCGCTTTAATCAAAAAAGGTCAAAGGTTTGTTTTCTGTGTAGGAGTAAAAGGGAAAGTACATTGTAAGGTGGAGAGAGAGGATGAGAAGTTACCTCTGGGTAAACAAAGTTCATTATTGATGATTATGAAGAAAATAACAGATCCAAAAGATTCATTGACTCTGGTGTGTATAAAAAGTAACATTGGATTAATACTTTTCCATGTTGATTCACCCAATTCCAGAATTAGATACTTTTAGACTCGATTTTTTTTTGTTCTTTTGATTGTATTGTCATCAACAGACTCGAATGTGAATGAAAGTTGTACCAGAGTGATCATTGATTCCCATGGTAGATAATTCAATATTCTGGAAACAAAAGAAGGAGATTGTAACTCTTGATTGATTTAATAATGAATATAACACAAGATTAAACGGTAAGCAAAATGATGATCAGATGATCATCAATGATGAACAATAGATGAGAACAATTGTCGAAAATAGAAGAGAGAGAGAGAGAGAGAGAGAGAGAGAGAGAGAGAGAGAGAGGAAATTGGAGATTAAGTTAATCATCATCATCATGATTCTTTCAAATGAAGGTAGTAATTAAAGTCTTTTATCAGCCAAATTAGATGTATTCATGGAAATAGAATGGAAAATCGTGATGGTGAAGAGAAAGTGGAAAACAGTTTCATCTTTCATTCACTTAATCAATCAGCTGATTCATTCTGTAAACCAAAATTTTCCATCATGGTGATGATCAACATTCTGAACCTGAAGGCAGATCAAAGTAAATGAGCCATGAACATCCATAAGTCTTATCGATCAACATGGAGAGGAAAAAGTTTCGTATCGAAATCAACATTGTCCATATCATTGATTTTATTCTAAGCTCTTTTTTCAATCAGATCATGGAATCAACTCTCTTCATCATCTTCTTTTTTTATCATCCTAATCTTTCATCTTCCTTTTTCCTTTCTTACATTTGTCTCAATTCTCCCTCGTACATATATGAGGTTACACTTTGATTCTTTCATAAAAAAAAAGCTTACAAATGAATCGCTGAGTCAATGATTACCACCAGAACTTTTATCTTCTCTTATTCTGATAATTTCCTTTTTCTCATCACTCCGAACTCAATTCTAAATTGGTCAAGCAAATACGAATCAAAACAAAACATAAAATTACCATTTCAATAGTCGCCATCGATTGATGATTTAATTTCATCCACAAATCATGATGGCTGAATGTCCACTTGATGATTACCTTGATAAACTACAATCAAAATCGAGTACCAATGATTAGGATCAATTATTATTCCAATGATATTTATCTGAATTTGTTGATCTTTCTAAATCATTTAGAGATGAAAATGTTTCAAATTGTCAAAGATATTGAGGTGATTTGGTGAATAACATCATGAAGATTTAATTTCATTTCAAATTTCTTGAAAGATACACTGTAGATGTGGAAGGATTTTGGATGGAAAATGAAATGATCAATTGTTGGGAATCCATTTCCTTTTCCTTTATACAATAAGAAAAGTTCATTGTGTCAGTGAGTTTTCACCAAGAGAAATATATATTCTTGTGGATATTCAATATGAACAAAATGAAATGAAAAGTTGGAATTTTGGAGAGAAAAAAATTTCGTTCCTCTCTCTCTCATTCGCAATTACGAATTGATTATTGGAAATTGATTACTTACAATTAGAAAAGTTTGACAATTAACAAAGATGATCAGATAATGATTTTCAGGGAAAAGAAATTATCATGAAAGTGTAAAAAAAGAAAATGAAACAAATCGATTTAGGACATTACGAAGACAATTTCCAAGATAATTAAATCTTTTTTTACTTAATCACTTTTTCTTGTTTGTTGATTGTCGATGTTGTTAACATCAATTTCAATTAAACAATCGGATTAAACATTAATTAGAAAACACTGATGATGATGATGGTAAATTAATGGCGATAATTAAGAACTTTTTTTTCCAATCGATGAATCGATTAACGGAAAAACATTGAGAATAGAAAAGTAGAAAAAAAATCGAAAACAATTAACAATTTTTACTACATAATCGGATTAAGAATTAACAATTTGTTTTCCTCTTTCATCATGTCACCAAAGGTCATTCAGTCTTTGACCGATTCCTCGTTGAATCTTTTAGAATGATTAATATTATCATAATCATTAATTTCTTTCTCATCGGTGATTAAATTATGTTTAATTGTTGGACTTTCTATTGTTGATTTAGTCTCTGATAGTTTCGTCTCTGTAAATAATTCTGGCGTTGATTCTGTGATTGGTGAGGGAAGAGGTTGTGATGAAGATTGTGAGACTGAATTAATTGTCTCTGGTTGATTAAATGATTGTCGAACTTGATGATTTTCTTGGCTAATCGATTGGTGTTGATGATTTTTCACAATCAACGGAGAATCAATTTGATCACCACCATCATTGATGGCGATCCCTTGATGACCATGATTATGTTGAACGAATCTAAGGCAACCTGAACAACGATTTACTAATCGATCCTGATCAGAATTGGAATCATCTGAACCACCTTCATCTCCAATATATCCCGTTGATTCACTGGCAGATCGCCATCGTAATCCGCCATTATTGTTATTGGCAATTGAACAACAATCGTTTATACCGTTTTCTGAAGTGACCATGGTCGAAGATGATAATTTACGATTAAGAAGATCGCCAAGAAAACCTTCAATATCGCCTTCCATTGCTGCCAATTTGTTTGTTAACCCTTCGTCGGTTGTAGTTGAACCTTCACCGTTATGACGGTGACAGTTAAGATCACTTAGATATGCCGAACTAGCGGTATTACTTATTATTGGAAGAGAGGCTCGTCTTTGGACTGGATGAAATTTCATTCCACCTCGGGAAGGATAACTGTTCTCAAATAGATCCATGTCACCGGTTAATAAAGGTGTCAAATTGAATCTATTGAGAATCGATTTACCCGGTGTCACATTAGTTTCCGTTGAGTGTTTACCAAAAGATGATAAATTATTGTGAGTTGATTCATTCATCTGATTTAGATGATGGTGATTATGAGACTTATTGATTTCGGATAACATTAAATATTTTTCTTCCGAATTTGGGTGAATACAATCAGCTTGACAATAATCATCGATTAAATTTTCCATGAAAACTTCCTCAGAGATACAAGTTAACTCGGCACTTGCTGCAGCCGCGGCTGCCGCTGTTGTTGTCGTTGTTGTAATGGTACTTGGTGAGGATGAATTTTGTCCACTATTATTGGTTAAACCCGATGAATTGAAAATATTATTTGGTCCACACGAATGCTGATTAACTGATGAATAAAGTTCACCACAAGATTCACCGTTAGTTGGATGATTGGAACCAACTTGACCCAATAAACTTGGATGAGAAACATGATGATGGTGATGATGATGACTGGACGATGATGAAGATGCCGCGGCCGCTGCAGCCGCTGCTGATAAAGCTTTCAGAGCAGTGAAATTGACCTGAGCCAAATTGTCAGTCCCATTTGGACCAGGAATCAAAGGTCGACTCGTGAAAACAAGAGGGTCAATGAAAACCCTGCCCTCAGGTATACCATAAGGAACTGGACTCGTCTCATAATTATCCAAGGCCATTCCCGATGTAGTAAAACCATAGGTTCGTTCAGGTGATAAACTCGATATCTTATGTTTACTATCATCATATGAACGTTTGGACCCATCGATTAGGAATAAAGTTAACGAACCAAAAGCAGTACAAAAAGATGATAAAAAGAATCCTGATTTGTTACCATAATACTCAGAGATGAAACCTGATAATAAGAATCAATTGATTGTTCAAATTAATAATCCGATTCCAAGAAAAAAAGTTCCAAAAATAATCAAGGAAAAGTTTCAAAGCTACGAATCAATATGATTGAAAATATTACTATCATTTACTGAATACAATAAATGTAAAGGTGAAATTTAGCTTTTCTTTTATAGTTAATATATTAATTCAGTGAATGGAAATCAATGTTCAACTTATATAACAATTGAATTTACGATAAAATCTAAAGTAACTCTCTGTTAACGTAGACATTTGCATGGAATTGAAAAAGTAAGAACATCGTAATCACCATGAATCAGAATTGTTCATCTCTTGTTGAGCAGTTTATTCATCTTTCCTTTTCCCTGAACAACATCATCATCACAAATATAACGGTACAGTTATTATCAGGTCAATGTACATATTAGACGATTGAAAGTAAAACATCAAACTGTTAACATGGATTTAGGTAAGTCTATCATCTCTACTATCATGATGATCATGATGATCATCATCATTATCATCATTCAACTGATTTTCTTTTCTTTTTTCTTTTATTCCTATTTCTTTGCTATTTGATATGAGAAAAATGATTCACAATGATTTGTTTCGTTTCTTTCATGATCTTTTCCCAATGTAGTATTTATTGTTTCCGAAATCAATCTGATTTAACCTCAAACAGTTTTATCCTTTTATCCACTAATATGTTTCCATTCACTTTCTTTCAATTCATTTTCTCTGATATTTTTTTTCCGCCTTCTTCTAGTTGATTTAGATCATTATTCTCATCATCATCATCTACAATTAACTCTACTAATACACATTACCATTTATTACATTAATCTATTATCCTTTCAATTTATCATATTATTACATTATAAGATAATAATAATACATTTACTTGAGTCTAATTGTCTTTTTTTGTGTAATATCTTAATCCTTTATAATGGAAAGTGGGATAGACAAAAAAAATTGGATTGTTTCAAGTTGATTTGTCTTCATTTTCATGTATAATAGTTACCTGTTATTGGTACACCGACCATAATGGGCACTGCTTGGACACATTGGACAAAACTCCAGGCTCGATTAAAGTTTCGAGCTCGAACCTTTTCATAAACGTACATTTTCAATGAGTACATGTAACCACCAAGAAAGAAACCATAAATCCAAACGAAAAGCAGATAACCTGAGTAATCATCGAGCGCTGAAAACGCTAAAAGAGACGCACTTATCATCAGAGATGAAGCTTGACACAAATATTGACGGGCGATCATACAGTCGACGCTATTTTTTACCACAATCAGTCCAAAAGCAACGGTACCAAGAACGATTCCAAGGCCAAGAAACGTTTGTAGACCCAAAAGAGCCGAATAGGCCATTCCCGCTTTCTCACCATGATAAGCCTATTTGGATGAACAATCAAAGGGAAAACAATTTTATCAACTAATTACTTTTGTCTACTTGGTAAATTATTCAAATTAGAATAATAAAATTTACCCAATTTAATGATTAAAGTTAATTAGGATTACGTTGATGATGAGATATTATAATTTCACTTCAATCTTCTAATACAATCAACAGAATCAAAGTTCATCTTAATCAACAATAATTAAGTTTCATCATCTTCACCTAATTAACAGCATCATGATTAGTTAACCCTAATGAAAGCTAATTCATTGCCATCATCATCATTAGTTATTAACTAATTATGGTTAATTAAGATATGGAAAAAGTTATTTTGACAATATATGAAAATCATCATCGTCTTAATTGTGATTAGTTTAATCAATCAATGATTGAAAGTGAATTGATTTAGTTAATCATGTAAAAGGCTGGATTTTGGAAACCCTTAGACAATTGATTGAAGGTTAATTGTTTTAATTGTTGATAATCAAATTGAAAAGGTTGATGAGATATAGTATTTGATTTGTTTTCGTTGTTTGATTTGATTTAATTGTTGATAATCAAAGTTTGTTGATTGTCTTACAGAGCAATTTGGTTGATCAACTGATTTAATTTGCTTTTATCATAATGATTAACGAGTTAGAAAGCAGCAATAAAAAGTAATCTAAACTATTAGTTGATTGTTGATTGATTTAATTGTTGAAGATGAACCTTTACTTTCACAATTTGGTTACAGTTAAATGATTGATTTAATTTAACTTAATCAGTAGAGCAATTAAAACACGCTCATAATCATAATCAATGAATAACTTATTAGTTGGATAATTAAAAGTTTTTAAATTGACAGAAAATCAATTAAATAATAATACGTTAATCTTTAATCATGATTAAGCTGATTATCATTTTGTTAATCCTTTTCAAAGATAATTAATTAATGACAGGAAGTGTGTCAACTTTACAATAAATTAATCATAACATTAAATTAGTTTTGTTTTTGCAATTTAATTTGATTCATTTCTTTCAATCGGTCTCTTGACTTAAATCACAATTTAACTTATTGATTATTGATTTAACCGTCTAATTAAATCAACGATCAAATTGTAATACATATTGCCAATCAATGGATAATTAATTAATCATTTTAGTTGGAAACAATTTATCGATAATCAATTTTTATCCTTGTTAATATGTAATACTTTTGATTGAGATCCTTAATTGTTGTCTCTTGATGTCCAATTGTTTAAAATTGATCACAGAGTTAGTTAAGGTTGAGTGATTTAATTTATAATCAATTGAACAATTTAATGTTACTTTCCAATTAGAAAGTTGATTGTTCAATTGTAATGAATTAGTCGATTAATCAATTAGGTGAAACATTGATTTGCTTTCAAATCCTTACAATTATCGTAACAATTTAAAATCTGTGTAACTGGATAACTAAATTTGATCAACAATCAATAGCAAAAATTAACTGTAAGTTGTTTAACTAACCAAATTGAGCGTGAAAATTGTAAATACAATTTAAAACAATTAACACTTACTGATTTAGTTAAAAGGTTCTTACTGGTTGGATAACAATTATTAAATTGCGAATATAATTAACTTTTAATCAAGTTTACAATCAATTTGATGATCCAGCAAATTGAACAAATGAAAATCCGATTGAAAGACATTGAAATCAATCGGATAAATATTATTGATTTAATAATCTGATTAAATTGGAAACTTTCAATTCGAGTGAAACAATTACATATACAATCAGTTGATTGTTCAATATTAATCAGATGAGATAAAAGGGAAAGTTTGTTTCATGGTAATAACTGAATTGATTCATTCCCAATGAATTCATTTGAAAAACTCAATTAGATCTTGAGTATCAATTGAATGATAATATTCAATTAATATCAATAGTTTAAAATGAAAATGATGTAAACATTGAGAGTGAGAGCAAGGGAGGAAACGGAAGAGGATCAAGTTGTTGTATCGAGTATGTCATCATCATTATCATCATGTTGATACAATAAATTCAATTGAAATTTCAAATGTATTTCCATGAATTGGATCATCAAAATAAATGGTCAACAATAAATTGAGATTAAATTGTTTCATTGATAATCCACTTAGGATTAAGAATGATCATCATTTGTATTGATCATGTTAATCTAATTTAGTTTTGAAGTGATTTGTCAATTGCAAGCCCAAAATTAAATTTAAATTGATGACAATTACATTAAGAGTGGTTTAAATTATTGTTGTGTTTAATTTTCTGCTCATTTGATTGTTTTCTAATAAATTTTAAATTCTAAATATAATCTTGATTCATCTCTGAATACTCTGAGTTTTATCCTTCAATTTTTATCGATTAGAAGATTGAACAATTTAAATTGAGTGATTTTCTGTTATCATGTTTTTTATTTGTTTCTTTTTCCATCATCTCTCATTTCTACTCCCACATGAATCTCAGAATCTCACCTTTTATCTATTCCACACCCATGAAGGTAAATAGTTTTCCTTTCATGATGATGATGATTTTGATGGAAAATTTTGGTTAAGAGAGTAAAAATGGAGACTGGGAGTTAGCGAAGTGTAGAGAGAGAGAGAGAGAGAGAGAGAGAGAGAGAGAGAGAGAGAGAGAGAGAGAGAGAATATAAATCTCTTGGATAAATCTTATTTCTGTTTTCTGTTAAGTTTTAGAACAAGTTCTAAGTAGATTCTGGTGTAAATTCGAGATGTAATCATGTCTTTTTCTTTCCCACTTAAAACCTCATTTACAGATTAATGGACTAATCAGCTGATAGATTAATAAACTTACCAGTAAGAAAATTGGAGCCCAAAGACCGAAAGATGAGATACAAGTTCCAGATAATAAGATTCTAATTGTTTTTGACTTTAGAATTGTAAAATCAAAGTAAACAGATTTACCATGGGAACTTTGACCATGAACTGAATTTGTATGCGATCCTGGGCCACCATTAGCATGGTTAACATGAGATGGACCGTTAGTAACTTGTGGATGACCATTGTTGTTATGAGAACCATTTTTCTGTATCTTATTGTTATTGAAATTGTTGATTATATTGTTGGTCGCGTTAATAGCGGCAATAGTGGCCGCTGATTCGCGATGATGGTTATGTCGAGTTTTCTTTTGTAAACTTTTAAGGTGTAAAATTGCCCGACGCTGGGGATGGTAAAGTGATGCTGGACGATATAAAACGCCGATGAAAAAATTGATGAAAGCGACTAAGGCCAATGATTGGAAGCCCGTTCGCCAACTTTGTGACCTGTTGAACAAGAAGAAGAAGAAAAAACAATTCGAACAATTAAAATTGATTGTCATCCCATTTCGTACTCTTCTTGGTTATTGATTAAACTTCTCGATTTAGATACAAATTGTTGAATCACTAAAATATTGATTGTGAGAATTGATTAATTGCCAAAAAAAACTTTCAATTGACAAAATTTTTTATTCCACAATTAAATTTAACTGTCTTTTCACTTTCCAACAATTAGCATTTTACCTTTTGATTGCTTACAATTTAACCTTAAAACGGTTGATTGTAAATTCTTGAAATAATCAGACATGAAAAAATGATGAGTTTATGAAACAATCAGAAAAAAAATAATATCATTCTGATAACAATCAATTGATTCAACTATTGATGATTAAGTTAAAATAAAACAATTGACCTAAATTTAGACTTAATTGTGAAAATTACTCTTAATTATTGTGAGAAAGTTAATAAACTTGATTACGAAAATGATAATCAACAATAATATAAACTGATTGTTGTTTACTGATCATAAATATTATTAATACATTAGATTAATCAATCAACTTCCATTATAATCACAATTGACAAAATTTTCGTGTACAATTAAACAAATTCACAATGATGACAATTAATATTAATCACAACAATCAATAAAAATGATACACATAGACAACTGATTGTTAATATTAATCAATTGATGTTAACATAATCTAAATTGATTTTAGTTAATCAACATTTCTCTATGTGTTTAGATACAAGAGATAATAATAAGATGAAGATGATAGAGACGATGATGAGGAAGATGAAGATGAAGATGACCATCATGATGATGATAAACAGGAAGTAAATAAATTGCTGTGGTTAGTTGACTGATGATCAGAATTGTAGATATTCATTGAATTGAATTGACATGAATTAGAGTTTTCTTTTATTAATATTATCGTTTCAATGTTTATCTAACCCAGACACATGAAATAATATTATTGTTATCATCATGATCAACTATTAACGATAATTAGATCAAATCTTTATGAAGATTTAATTGATTATGATTAAATCTCTCAGAATGTAATCTAAATTGTTACAGGATCTTGAGAAGTAAATTAGTTTCCTCTTGCTCTCTAATTGTGACTATTATCAATTGGGTTGAACACTAGAGGAAAATTTAACCAAAATAAATGACAATTAATTACGATTATTAACAATAAATTAGCAATTGCACATAACAATTAAAACCATAAATCAAGGGACAATCAACTGATTTCTTTGGGTTCGCTTTTTTGTTGTTGTTGTTGTGAAAGTTTCATCGCCAATTGATGAAGGAAATACTCAGAGTGTTCATCAGAATTTTCCTTGATAAAATTATCGTTTTCTTTTATATCTTTTCCTGGAAATAATCATCATCATGGTTGACATGATATTCTCGGAGCTGCAGAAATAATAATGATCCTTGAAACGGAAACTCTTGTTTCTTTTCCCTCTCTCTATCTCTCTCTTTCTCGATTCATTATGACATTTTCTTAGGAAGAAAATAAGAAAGATGAATATCGAATATTTTTCCATTCACTTCGAGCTATCACCATGATGAACATTCACAACTTTCTGAAATTATCTCTTTGTTTTTGAGAAAATTTTTCTTCTTCCTTTTCATCTCAAATCAAGATTTATAAAAATTGTCACGATACTACATTCGGAAACGGAAGTAACTTCCATAGACAAATATTATAATAACATTTACTCATGGACAAAGACAACGATACAAATGAATGAATTCTGATAATGTTGACACATCGATGTCATTGACATTTAGAAAGAAATTATATTGTTATTAATATTATTCGTATTCGATTGAGAAGTTCAATCAATCAGTCATTCATATTATTATTGAAAATTTATAGAATCGAGAGCGATTAATGGGCTTACCTTATACAAAAAGAAAGAAAGATCGGCATCAATGCGATTCCAAGGCCGTTTCCCGTGCTAACGAAAATTTCCACGAATTCTCTTCGCTTTTTAAAATACTGACCAATCATTATCACAGAAGTATCTCTTAACATGGACACACCGATTCCAATGAAAATCCCATAAGAGATTAGCAGCTGATGAAATTGGGTGGCAAATGAAGTGAATAGACAACCAAGAGCGGTAACCAGGCCACCGACAACAGCGGTTAACCTGATACTCTTACGACGGCAAAGGGCAATGATGACCGGTGAAAATATAAGAGTGACCATAGTTGAAAAAGCTCCGATTAAAACTAAGAAAAAGGGAAAAAATCAAACAAAAATAATTCCATTAGAAAAAAAAGTCAATCAAATTAAGATAATGAGGAAAAATCCTGAAAAGGTTAATTGATTATCATGATATTCCAGTGGGTGTAAATTATCAGATTAAATTCAATTGTTGCGATTAGATTTATAATAGTCTCGAGAAATATGAGTAATTATCATGATGAAATTTACGTTCTTACTTTTCAGATTTGTTATCCAAAAGGTTTTGCTTGTTTTCTTTACCATGAAAGGTATATATTACTATTCCCTCAGAACTCAGAATTTTTTCATGAGATGAATATGAAAAGATCGAGTTACTTTTGTAACAATTTGAGGTGGAAAATCTCATCTTCCTCCCACGTAACAACCCTCATCCCACCCCGCGAACACTTGACAGATTATCATAGGTAAACACTAATTGTTGAAAGATAAACAGTCAATTTGATAACTATAATTATTCATCTCAGAATTTATACATAATCATGATAATTATATCATCTCAAGATAAAATGAATGAAAAATCCATTAACTGAGCTAATTAATCAAAGAGAAAATAATAATTATTATATTTACGATACATAAAGGAATCGAAATACAAAACAAAAATATTCCAACAATCAGAAGATTTTATTGTAAATGATGAAAAAAATTCATCTTTTATTTGAGCATCATGATGATCATGAAAAAATAATGTTCATTTGAAGTGAGAAAAACTAATGATTCAGTTGAAAGTTTGACAGCATCATGAAAAATTGGGTGGAAATTGTTTATCAATTAAAATCTTTCGCGCCGTTTCAAGGGTTACAATGTTTACGGAAGTTGTTAAATAGCTTGAGGCAATTTTCAGGATTCCATTTTCATCTTTCCTCATGATAATGTTTCCATGTTGATGATAATTTCTCTTTCTTTTCTCTCTCTCTCTCTCTCTCTCTCTCTCTAATATTGATTAGGAACAATTTAAAAAAGCACCAAAAATGTTCCGGATGATGAATCTATGGACCATGAACTGGTTACCATTCATCAGTTAACCATGAAATTGAAAAGTTCAATCGTCAGACTCAAGAGTTTTTATCTTCTTTTATCTTTTTTTTCATAGTTAACTGTTAATTTGTTTGATCAATTTATCTACAATGAATGTTAATCAATTACAATTTAAACGATGCTAGAATAGAAGAGGAAAAAAATATCAAAAAAAAGTTTTCGACAAAACTTATTTCAGGAAAACTCAATTTCTATTAATTTTCTCATTAATCGTTTCTATTAAATTCACATTTTCAAGAACTTTTTTTTCATAATTCCTAAGTAACTTCATATCCACAATAAAAACCCATGTGAATTGTAAACTTCCGGTTGGGAAAAGTTGAATATAATTACCATGATGCTGAAATAACAATAGTTTCATGATGATACACCTACACAATATCATCCAATTCATATGATTTAATCTAGAAAAAGCTCATGAAAAAATGAAAATAACAAGGTAATCCGTTAATAGGATTGATAAATAATCACCGATGACAAATAATTTAATCCAGTTAATGAAAAAAAATGATTAACTATTCCAAATAAATCATAACTATTAATATCTTTGATGATATAGTCAATAAAAGTTTTCCCAATTTTTAATTGTTAACCATCAAACTAATTATTTATATTTGATCATTTTTGACCTAAATTGTTAAATTGGAAAAACTAATTAACTGATCACAAGTCAATTCAACTAAATTAACAGCTCGAAATTGTTCAAACTCGTAGGCGTTTTTTTCGTCTACTAAAATATCATAGGAATTTTTTCCCCTTTTCTCTAATAACTAATAGAGATGCTGATTGTTCATGGAAATGTTCAGGTTATCATCACCATCATTTTTCAATAATCAAGAAATAAAGAAAAGGATAGTGAAAAGAAGATGATGATGATGATGATGATGAGAGAATAGAAAAAGGAAGCAAAAAAAGAAGATGAAGTTTTCAGTGAATAGTAATTTTTTCATCCTTCTCTATTCTGGTTACATGAAAACTACATGGGGAAAAATAGTGTAATATAAAAACATGCATTCATTGTGTACGATGTTCATAGACCAAAGGATGATAATGGAGATGATGATGATGATGATGATGATGGAGATAATGATGATACAGTGTAAGTAAAATAATCAATGGTAAAAGGCATTGACCTTCAATCAAGTTAACTGTTAAAGCTTTTGCCTATGGGCTACACAGAGTAGTGAATTGTAAGTTTGTTACATGATGAAGATAATGCATTAAGATGAAGGCAATGTAAGAAAAAGATGAGGATGAGGAGGCGGAAGATGATCATCATCACGAAGGGAAGATTGAACAGTAGACATTGGAGATAACATCATTTTATTTTCTCTCTCTCTCTCTCTCATTCTGTATCTTCTTTCGCCATCTTAACTTACTGATACAGAATCTGTTATTACCATAGACTTTAATATATCATTTTCGAGTTGAGAATCGACTTGGAAATAATAATATCTTGTTCATGATGAATTAACTTCAAGTTTAAACATTTATCCAGTTAATTTGACTTTTATCAATTCATTCAGTAGATACAAATTTATTTGAATAAACTTTGGGTATTGGTGATGAAAAAAAAACGAAATAATTTTTCAACTTTTAATGGAACCAGAATTTCAATATATATTCAAACTCATGCAAAACTTTTTTCCTTCATGATAATAATAAATTGTGATACAATTGTATCTCCTCCATTGATTTCAATTGAGTTTCCTCAACCATGAAAATATCTATATTTATCATGTGTAAATTATTTCATCATGTTTTTTGCTGATAAATCAACTGTCTCAATTGTTAATCATTACCTGAACTTTCATGAACTTTTTGCATACCATTGGTTTTATTATTGTTAATAAATTGGTTCACAATTTTTCATCATCATAAACATGATGATGATGATGGTGATTATCATCAGGTTATGAACCTTTTTCATGATGATAATATTTAATAACTGTTATCATAACTGTAATAATAATATTGGCCATTGGTTACTTTCTAGTCTTGACCCTTTTCTAGGTTCATGGTAAATAAACTCAGATGAAGATGATGATGATGAGAAATGACCAGAAGTGACCATAAGAAAGACGCTCAATTCATATAAATTAATATCATGATTCTCATTTCATCATTCAACTGATTTTATTTCAATCAAGAATCAGATGATTAATATCCTCATGAATTTCAAGTTACAACTTACTGGAAAGTATCAATATGATGATGAAAGATGAAAAGTAAATATGACACAATTGATGGAACCAAGAATCTAAAGATAATCAAGTTAATCAGTTGATGAGAGTTATCAATGTAAAGTGTAGCAATTAGATGATCAAATCAATAATTGAGCCAAGAAAAGTTGAAAGTGATTTATATTCTGATTGATTGTGATGAGAAAATTAGAGAAACAAATATCATATTGAGTATCGATTTTTTTTTCATCCCATGTTTTGGGTGACATGAATTCAGCTCAGAGATGTCTCATGAAGATGATCAATCAAGATGTAAACAAAGTATCTTTGTTGATAATAAAAGTATATTCCATGTTTAAATAAGATTAACCTGGAACCTTTTGTATTATTCAATTTCCATGGTGAAAATTATTTACTTCAATTCTGAAACTTTATTCATTTTTATCGTTTCTTTTCTCATCAGATCATCAGTCTGACCACTTTTATCCTTTACATGATCATCATTATCATTATCATCTTTTCATCATCATCTAATATAAACATGATGGTCAGTCCTTTTTATGGCGAAAAATAAATAATGGTCAAGATAAATTGAACTTTTTGCTTTTCAGACCATTTTTTTGTCACCAAAACTAGAAAAGGAGAAAAGTTGTGAATTTCTGCCATGTTATCATCAGGATGGAATTGAAATTGTTCATTCATAAAACTCAAAGAAAGTTCAGTTTGATTGATGTCCAAAAGAGAAAGACCTCAAAAATTGTTATTAGAATATTTCTTTTTTCGTCTCATTTTCCATGCTTAAAGAATTTTCCTCGAAAATGTTTACCATCATCACCTTTATCATGGTAAAAGATATTAACATGAATTTCATCACCATGAACTTATGTAAAAGGTATTTCAATAGATAGAGTTTCCAACTCAACTGCTCCTTTTTGTTCAGATTAAGATTCAGTTCCAAGGGGATTCAGTTCAAAGGTGAGATTAGTAAGATAAATGATGAAAATCTTTGTTGACAAAATTTTCGCAAGATTTCTGATTGAATTTGCTCTGATTAATATATTCTCATGAACTTTTTGTTAATATAAATTTTACAGAACAACAAAAAAAGGATATTCCAAGATTACTCAAACAGGTGAGTTCAATTGAATTCAGCTAATTAAATGAACTTTCATCAAGAAATCAATAGAAATGATTAAAAATAAAGAGATTGGAAAATTTTCTCAGATTTTTTTTTTCTTATATTTAATCTCATTTATCTTATTATATTCATGATACTTTGTGATTTATATTTTTAGTACAAATTTTCACACTGAATTCAGTTCATTTTCAATCAATCATCAAGTGAGAAGAAGATACATCATGAAATGTTGATGAAAAAAAAACTGTTCCATTTGAAACTGATCCCTGGTGAAATTTTGGTGACACATCAAAATAATCAATTCTGAGATAAGTCTGAGTTTGACGAAAGAATATTTTTCTTTTCCTCTTCATCAGTTGTTGAGGTTTTCAGGGGGTTTCAATTCATGATACTCAATCAAACAAACTGTTGCTTTAAAAAATTAACCATTTGTAATCATTATCATCATCATGACAATCAAAATGTAGGACAAATTGATCACAATTAATCTGTAGACTGTGACAATCAATGAACAACAATAATCATTTTGTTTCAACGAAAAACAAAAATTATCATCATTATATTATAATAATAGTAATCTCATCATCAATTCAGTAAAACAATAAGGATGAAAATGTTGTGTGTGTGTGATGAATTATCATGAAAATGAGATGAGATGCAAATCAGTTTGAAAGTGAAAAGTTAATTAAAAAATCGAGATAATTGAAATCGAAACAATTGAAAAATTCTAATCAACTTGCTCGTTTCTTGTTGATTTTAAGTGGGGACTTTGAGTGATGATAATTGTGTAGGTTTTCAGACTTACCTGCAGCTAAAATACCTTCATCTGGTTTGAAGGTTCTCATTATATCGAGGATGAGGAAACTGTGAGCCGGAAATAGAGAAGCAGTGATAAAATAGCAAAGGGATGAGCAAACGGAAATGATCCAACCCCAACCACCCTCTGGATAATAGTGTTGACCAATGGTTCGTATCATTGGATTGTCCGGTGAAAGGGTTTTATTTATACCTGGAATGAGATCACCATTCAGTTGATAATGATGAAGATGATGAGATGGATGTGGTTGCTGTTGTGATTGCTGGTGATGGTGGTGGTGGTGGGGTTGATGCTGGTGAGAGATGGTGGTTGGAGGCGGAAGTGCATTTGGTTGATTAAGAAGATGATGGACTGGTGTTGTTGTTGTAGTTGTTGGGGCTGTGGTTGTATCGGTGCTAAATGGTGAGGTTGATGATTGTGATGGTGATGATGACCAATATTACCTGATGAAGGTGATCTGTTGACCATTGATTTAATGTCACGATTCCAATGTAATGAGGTCGCTAAAACGGCCGCATCACGAGCACGGGCATAAGATGATCCATAGGTAAAGGTGTGATTGTAGGTTGAAGGTTGAATTGTATGGTAACCAGATAATAAATCACCACCATTACCAACAATTGGACGACCATTGGTCATTAATGATTGTCTTTTCATTTTTTCCTTGTAACAATTAATATCATTAACTTTAAGAGTTTCAATTGTTAATTTAGGCACGAAACAAAATACACTTGAAACAATTAGCTAACCAATATAATCCGATATAAAGACTAATATTAAGTTAAATCACTTGAAGCAAATACTTTAAAGGTTATTAAAATCAATTTGTGTATCATCAACAATTTATAAATTGTTGTTTACAATCTTATCTATGTAATCAAAATGTTAGGCACATTCATTGGATTCAAATTATAATCAATGAAAGACAATAAATGATGATTAAATTGATGATGATTATGTAAATGATTATATTGATAATCAGTTAATCTCATGATGATTTTACTTTGAACAGAAAATAAAACACAGCAGAAACTATGATCTCTAACAATTAACTAATCACTTTGATTACCAAGCAAAACACAATCACTTTGTAGACACATGAAACAAAAAAACTAATTGTTGCCGATACAAAATCAAAAAATCAATAGAAACTCTTCAATTAACTCGATTAAATTAGTAAATTGTTCAGCAATTTGGATCAACTTTACTCTCCTCTATCTGATCATCAACTGAATTAATATCTCAATGAACTTACAACTCTTTGCTTTTGACTCTTTCAACTGAAACCTTTTTTTGGTTGATTCAGTTTCTTATAATTGGTTAACTTTACGCCATCTACTGATCCTTATTGTGATTAGTTAATCAATCCAACAGCTGATACAACCCAATTAACTGTCATCACTTAACCTCAACACTCAATCAACTCTTAATTGTCATGATTTGTTGGGACTCGACCAATTCAAAGATTCAATTGATTTGTTTATTGGTAAAAAAAAGTTGTATAAATGATTAGTACAAAAAAAAGTTTACTATTAGTGATACTTGTTGATAGTGAAATGAAAAAGGTAAATTATTAGAAATTATCAATTATGATTAGTAAATTGTTCCCTTAATTTTGGGTCTAATTGTTTTCACAATTCGTCCTTGTTGAATACTTTTAATCCTTTCCCAAATCTCCTCAATGTCTTTGGGTTTAAAGGTTGATACAATTATTTTCGGTCTAATTGTTGTTAATATAGTTGAAGGTTTCTGAGTTGTGGTTGTGGTTGATGTTGATGTCTGCTTAATTACTGGCGATGGCGTTGATTTAATTGTTGACTTAATTAGATTATTATCTGTTTGATTTTTACCAGATTCTTGATCATTTCCAATGAAACTAACCTTGGCTTTCAATCCTCTACCAACCATTGATTTATCAGCATTAATCAGAATAATGATTCTATTTGATTGAGAAGTTAATTTGGTTCCTGATTCTAAATCAGTTCCACAATGAATTTCACCATGAAAATCATCTGTAAATCGTATTTCAATTGACTCATTTAAACATTTACCAAATAAATGTTTGTTTGGTGATTTTGAACGAGGAGCAAAATCAAAATCAACGATTTCAAGTTCAATTTGATTACCAATTGGAGCCTAAATTGAATTCAATCAGATCAGAACAAAAAAGTAAATTAATTCACCGATTAACCAAAAGTTCATTTAACTTAAATGCTGTCCAATAGATGGCAGCAGCTAACAGATCATCTAATAGATTTGAAAGTTAATTGAAAAAAACAATTAAAAGGAAAATCAAATGATTGTGAAACTAAACTAAATTGACAAACCTTAATGTCCCAGACACAACTTTCATTGGGGTGATATCGCTTAGGATAACCTGGAGTTGATATATATCCCGGAAGTGAAACATTCCCGCCACAGGGAAGCGGAAATAGTGATTCATAATAGTCAGTTGAAAGTAAAGTTTGACACACTGAGCCTGAAGTATTAGGTGGACATTGACATGAACAATCAGTTGAATCATTACCAGAAGATTTTAAATAACCACCATTGAGACATTTCAATTCATTTAAATTGGAGCAATTACCTGAGGGAGAAACAAAGAAACAAAATCAGATCAAATCATACAATCAACAATTAATGAGTAAATCTAATTGTCAATAATGATAAACCTTAAAGGTAAAAGCAAAGACAAAAATGGCCAGAATTTTGTCTTCCTAACAACATCTTCACTTCATGATGAAGATAAGAGTCTCATCCATGGTGAATGTTATGAAACATTTCAAATAACAAGAGAAACTCAAACATTAATATTATTTTATTTCTATCTCGCTGTTAATAGTTATCACAACAACATGGATTCCAAGTTATTACACTTAAAATTAACTCTGATCGTTGTTGTTTCCACCCTGACATTGTCCATTATCATCACAAGCCCACCCTCATCCACACACACGGTAAGTCCTGAACTTCACAATCACAACCCAAGGGGAAAACTCAATGTTTATCTTATCCTAATAACAATAAGAAGATGATGTTAACTGTTTTCACTTAATTTTCTGTTGATTTTTTTTGTTTCTTTCTTCATTCAACTTTTGGAAAAAGTTCATTTTCGAAATTGAACATTTCGAGCAAACAATTTATTTATTGACTGTTAAAGGGAGAGAATAATGTATTTCCAATGGTAAGAAAAGTCTAGTTAACTTCAAACTAATCATAATCAGCACACGAGTTAATCATTGATCATTTCAAAATTTTTCCAACAATTTAAACAGTCAGAAAAAAAGAAACGAAACTTTAATTCATAACAACTCATCATATTGAACATTTTTCATCAGATTTGCAATTAAATTGAACAGTGAATTTATCTAACACATTATGAAATAATTAGAGAGTAAATTGTCATCACAATCTATTCACAATTAACTGATTAACGATAAAGAAAAACTAATGAACAATTTAAAAATCGATTCCAAATCGATAAAAACAAAAGTTTTTCGTTCAATTTTAATGAACAACAACAACAACAGAAGAAGAACAATATTTCGAGCAATTAATTTAATCGCAAATTTGATTCATTGCTAACTAATCGTACATGATAGTATGTTTATTATAAGGAATGAGTCTCAAGCAAAATGATCAACACCACGTAATAACTATTAGAATGATAAGAAATATGAATTCCCCATGAATCTCCTTCTGATTACATGAATAATTCATTAGTCTATCAAAGGTGTATATGTAAGATTGGTGAACAAGTTGAAGAAGAAAAAAACTACCAACGTTTTATTTGTCTTCCTCTCAAACAATCAAGTTAATTTGGTTCCATTTTTTATCATATTAGTGATACAAAATCCATTAGATTGAGAGATAAATCAGATTAATCTAACCCAAAGTTATACATTTAGACCAAAGTAGTTGTTGGTAAGCCACAAAAAAATGAAACAAAATCTAAACCTTAAAGAGACTTAAATGGATTAAGGAGATTAGGTTTGTTTTTTCATTGAGAAAAAGGTGAAAAAAACAAAGGATAAGACAAGAAAAAACTATAAAATAATCTAATCAGAATCATGATTAGATAACTTGATTTATTCATTTGTCTATCATCATCGTTTTCCCTGTTGATTAAAATTATCTTCATGTATTTATAATAAGAGCAACTCTTCACAATGGAAATGGTTGACAATCAATCAACATTTTCGTTGTATCATTTAGTTAATCATCTTGAAGATGATAATTAGCATCACAATTAATTGCTGAGAGTTTGATTATGACGATGCAATCGAATCGTGTTTCAAATTGTTCAAATTGTCTGATTGTCTCATATTCACTTGAAAGCAAGAAATAAGATTAATTGTTAATTGTTTAACTTACGATCACACGAATACAGATAATTAACCATTTTCTTATCACGGAAAGTGAGTCCTTGATTGATTCCTAGAATCCTTTGATATTTTGGATCCATTGTTACAATTGTATTCTTATTGAGTACATCCTTACTGAAGGCCTAATTATTATCATGATTGTAATTTTTAATCAAACAACAATTACAATAATATATAATCAAGAATAATAATGAAAATGAAAGATTCAATGAAAAGGTAAATATGATTAGTTTGATGGTGATTATCATTGTTATATTATTATTTAAAGAGTTGAATGAAAGGGAAAACTGTTGATGATTAAATTGTTACAATTGATAACATTGATGGTAATCAGAATGAGAATAAGGTTAATATATATAAGCATGTTAAGGAATCATGAATGATAAAGGATGAGGAGTAGGAGGAGATTGAGAGTAACATGGTGAAGGGTCAATGGATGTTGAGAAACAATCAAATTCAATTTAAGAAAACAAAATAATCCAGAATCACTGAGAAGCAAAATTTTTCCTTCATTTCCATTGATTGTCAAAGTTACAATTAGATTAACGATAATCAGCTGAATCAGGAATGAAAATCAAGACAAATCATTGAGAAATACAAGCAATTAATATTATCGGTAATCATTAAGATTGAAATTCATTGAGAATGAAAAAAATATTCATACCAATTTCTGAATAATCTGAAAATCATGATAATCTTTTAATCCCATAGTTTTATCATATATATTACATTGTATTCATTTACACTGAGTAATCTTAAAGCACTAAATTGTAACTTTGTGTGTGTTTTTTATACTCTCAATCGTTATCATGAATAAATTGTCAGGGTAAGTCTAATTCTGAGCATTATTATGATATGAAAAAAGAGATGATAATATCATGAAATTATTATCATGTATGAAACAAAATGCTGTAACTTGATAAGTTAAACAACATGATGTAATATTAGGGATAAGATTTTATTTCAAGATATCAACAACCATCAAGATAATATTCATGGCTGTTAATGTACATACTTGATGATTATCATGATCATGAACAAAGTTCACAGTTAAACCTGAAAAGAAAACAACAAACTGTAACAGAAAACCCATGTAACCATTACTGTGTCATGAGATGGTGATAATGATGAAAATAATTCAAGACAATGAGATAGTTTCAGAGTCTTTTGTATTATTATTAGTAAATAAAGTTTTCAACAAACTTTCAGAGATTCACCTTTGGATGATGGGTGAGTGTGTGTGTGTAGTAATCACCGGTGGGGTTTACAAGTAGTGGAGACATTTAACTCAATGAGTAGATTGAATTTCAGAGGCAAACCACGTACACGGAAAATACAACAAATAATATTAACACACCGAGGGGAAAATGGCGATGAAAACTCAGGGAGGAAAAAAGTTCCAAAGACAATATCATCTTCTCTCGCTTTGTACAACAAACGATAATATGATGAAATATAATATAATCTCAACAATTGAGTCTCATCGGTTAAAAGTTCTGGTTAATTCTGACTGAGTTTCAACCTTTGATTTATCCACAAGATAAACATCCTAAAGTTCAGACTGTAAATTGAGTTTCATGAGTTTGTGTCTTACTGGTTAACAAACTGAGTCCATTCTGGTTGAATGTGAACTGAATAAAGTTAAGGAAATTATTATCATCATGATTAACGTTATCATGTTGCTAATTGTTTATCTCGTAATCATGATACTGTTATTTAAAATTATCAAACTGAATTTCATTCATTACCATGTTAACGATGGATTAACTTTCATCACAATTTCGGAAAGTTTTATTTTTCTTCCGCCAAAATGAATAAGATTGAATTTATCAATCAATTGTAAACTAAATCACGTCCAATGATTTGAGGAAACAAATATTGATTGAATGATTAATCGCATTTCAAAATAATTTGTCAGTGTCATTCAAATTCATGATAATAATAATAACTAGCATTCAATTGATAATAATAATTTATGGTTCCTGATTTAATTTGATTTGCTTGAATTAGAGGGATTTGAAAATACATATTGAAAAGATATTCAAGACAAATTCATGATTCATGATCAAATCAAATCTGGATATTGAAATTCTGTCCATGTTCTTGAGATTTAAATTGTAAAAGTCTTTTTTTACACCTCAAAATTATCACAATCGATTCAAAATCTTGAATATTTGCTGATTTAGTGAAAGTGATCATTGGTATAAAAATTGAACTGAATTAATAATCTGCAACTCACATGATAATAACATGATAGTCAACTGAATGAATAGAGAGAAGATGAAAAAAAAGTTCTGACCTCATCTCATAGATATGGTAATTTAGAGAGAGAGAGAGAGAGAGAGATAGTTGATATAATCAACCATTGAATCCGTAAACTAAATTATTATGATAACTGTAATTTTACTGAATCTTCAGTTGCGATTCTACCTCTATCTCACCATGTAGAAGATGAAGATCCATCAAATTGTGTCAGATAATCATGAGACCGTATAATGGATTATAATTGTTCGGAGGGACATGGACGCAGAATTGATGGTTGATGGAGGGAAAAGGTGAAAGTGGTCAGTTGAAGAGCGAGCCTTCAATTGGATATTAATGAGGGTGTGGAGGGTCAAGGTAACTAATATGTATAAGGTGGTTCACTTACCCATGAAGGATATTGCATAACAGAAGTATAATCATAGGGAACACCAAAGTTTTCATCTTCTTCTTTCTGAAATTGAAGATAAAATCCTTTCTCAACGTTTTCCCAATTTATGTGAATTGCATTGTCCCGATCGCTTCGTGATTGTTCATGAAAAAATCCAATAACATGACCGATTTCATGGGCAACTGTTGTCCACTAATGTAATAATCAATAGTCGGAAAATATAATACAACAAAAAAGTCCAAAGAGATGACCAGTCAACCAGTGACAACAGGCACACATACACAAGACACAGCGACAGGGAGATGATGATGATGATGATTATGATGTGAGATGAGATGAGATGAGATGATGAAGATCATCAGGAAGATGAGAAAAAAACATGATTACGTTCATGTAGTTTGTTGAACAAATTATCATATATTAGAGGAAAAGTTCATCCAATGGAACAATAAAAACGGAAATAGAATCAGAATAATATGATTGTGAATTCAGGGGAAAAGTTGAATCGAGTTACCAATCCAATGAATTAGAATCCAAAATTATTATAATAAAAGAAGAGAAAATAAAATGATTATTATTAGTTGAGAGGGAAAAAATGATTCATATTCATTAATTCATTTCATGTTAATCATTTGAAGATAATTTTTAAATCGTTGATTGAGTAATTCAAATTTCCTGAATAGGAATCATATTAATTATCTCAAGTTATCATTTCAATTGAAATGAATCAGAAAAAGTGATTGTTGACTTATGTTAATCTTGTTAAAAGTTTGTATCAACTTTATGATTAAGTATCTAAGTGATTTATTTATCAACAGGATCAACATCAGTTAATCTTGAAGATTAACTTGAATTTGAATCAATCTTATCATGAAGATTATGAGTAATTGAAATGAAATTTTAACAACAATCAGTTTGAAAATCGAGTGAGAGACTTTTTCATGAATCGGTTACCATTATTTTCTGAAAAAATTTTCTTTTTCTTCTTATTCATTATAATGACAATTTTTCCTTTTTTTTCATCATGAAAGAGCGAAACGTACAAGCGAATGAATCACCTTGGAACTTTTGATGAGAGTATGATGAAGATGAAGATGAAAATGATGAGGATGATTGGGGAAAGAAAAGGCAATAAAATGGGTGAAAATTGAAAGTATATTACTCAGGGAGATTATTTCACTTGGTTGCTATTCAATGAATTGTCATTGGGTTTACATGAGTTACCATGGTGAGGAAATAAGATGATGATAAAGATGAAGATTGAATTTAGAGACTACAAGAAAATATTAGAATCTGTTTCAATCTCATCGGGGGCTCTTCATGAAAGAAAGGAAAGACAAGATGAGAGAATGAAAAAAAAGGAAAATTTGATAAATTCAAAAGAAACTCATCTCTCTATCTCTCTCTTCAGGGTATATTATTATTCTGTTATTATTTTGGTAAACAAACATACAGGAGAAGATGATGTGATGAGGATGATCGAAGATGATGAAGAAAAGTTTTCTTTGATTCCAACAGAGTTACAACTCTTACTTTTTCCATTTTTATCTTCATCTTGCTTTCAACTCTTTCCTTTCAATTCCATTAACACTTTTTTCTTCTTCTTTTCGTCATCATCTCCAAATCTTTATCATCATCTTTTATCTTCACTTTCATCTTTGAATCTTCCATCGTCAGTTTGCAATTGACAGTAACGATTATCAATATCATGAAAGAAGATAAAAAAGTTCTCATCACTTTCTTTCAATTATTTTTTCTCTCGCCATGTATATCAACATATTTGAGATTGAGATGAAGATAAAAGATGAAAACAAATGATGATAATCGATGAGTTGATTCAATTCTCTTGGAAAACAGTGAGACAGAATTTAAAAGCTATCATTTCATGGCCAATGAAAGTTCAGCTCATTTCAACATCCAAGTTCATCTAATAAAAGGATAAATGTTGAAAACTTATGATTTTCACCAAACAAACACTTATGCTCATCAATATTTCCAATTATTCCGATAATCATAGATTTAGATAGATGTGGTAAGACAAATGTCAACCTGATTTCGATTCAACTCTCATTTTTTTTTGAAGAAAAAAAATTCCACTGGTCAATCTCCCAAACAATCAGGATGTCATGTTGATCTAGATGGATTGAATTTCATCGATATGAGAAAAGAAAGTGTAATAAACTTTTCTATGTTATTTCTCATTGGTTGATATCTTATAATTTCATCTTTTTCCACCTCAGTTTGTTTCATCTTCTTGTTTTATAAACAAAATCATCATCTTCATCATTATCCATGTTGTTGAGACTCCATTTGTAGTTAATGTTTTGACATGAGAAACGTTGACGGTATCAAGGCAAAGACCAACATGCAAACTTTTGATAGACTCGTTGGTTCATTCAAGGATACTGATCCTGGTGGTTGTGGTGGGTATTCAGAATCAACTCAGGGAAGAATTAACTTGACAGATAAGCAATTCATCATGTTCATCTGTTAACTTCAACATGAACCTAAAATCAGCAATATTATCTTCTCATTGTTATGAGGAAAACAACAAATTTTTTCTCTCATGAATTCTTATCCTGAATCACTTTTTTTACTTCGTCTTTATCTTGTTATTTTTTCAGCATCAATAATATCATCATATGAATGTCATCTTCCGCCTTCTTTATCATCCAATTTTCTTCATTAACACCATCATCATGGGCTCATGGTGGTGGGTGCAAATCATCATATCATCATTTATGATCAACAGAAAAAGAAACAATCTAATCCAAACAACAATATGTTATCAAAATTTTCTTAATTTGATTGTGTTGCTTGGAAAGAAAAAAAAAGTTCTGTAGAATTTTCTTTCTCCATGGGTTGGGCCTTTTTTGTATTCTTTTCTGTTTTTCCATCATGTATCTTGTTTTTTTGCTTTCTCCTGAAAAATAAAAGAAAAAAATTTCCATGTTAATTCTATGAAAAATCAAATGAACTTTTCTCTTAACAAACCTTAATTCCTACAAGGCTTAATCTTCATCTTCTCCATGAGAGTTGATTAAATACTAAAATCTAAGATTTCAGATTAAACGTAAATGTTGTAATTTGATTAAGCCATTAATCTTTGATTGGAAAAGGGATAATCTTATAGTTTAGTTTGTTTTAATTTCCAATTAAATCATAATCACTCATTAGATGAAATAAATGGCTGATTATTAGTCCAGGAGATGATCTTGATTATTGAAGATTTGGTTCACCTTAAATTGATTTGATCACATTAATTTAGACTTCTAATTGGATGGTTAAGAAGGAGAGGAAAAAAAGTCAAGATAAACGTAACAATGTTTATCCTCATCAGGGAAACATCATCATCATCATCATCATCATCATCATAATCATCATCGTCTATCTATGGAAACAATTTCTATTTCTTTCATTGAGAATCTATGAAATTGGAGAAATTGTTAGGAAAAAAGCATATTATGTAATCGAATTATCATCATTAAAATAATAATTCTAAATAATCGTAATCGTTGTTAGGATGTTGTTTAAATTATCAAAGTGTTTACAATCATTTGCGTTATGTATTACTCGAAGTATTTACGATAACTCATTTGAATCGAAAACAGAGAAAAAAAGTTGTAAGAAAGAAAAGAAAGAGAATATAATGATTGAGAGATGAAGGGTAAAGATAAACGGGAATATTGAGATATTATCGTTATAATAATACAAGAGGCTAAGGTGGTTAGCAATCAAAATAGATTCTATGAATTCATACAATTAATATAACAAGGAATGTCTAATTTAATTAACGTTTCCACATGGGAATGCAATTAATTTGTATTGGCTGTTGATGAAAATAGGGAGAGATAAATGGTAGTAGATAGTAAATGATGTTATTGAATCATATTGAATAATTATAATCATCATGATTAGGTTTGTTTTCACTGTTGATTCAATATCTCTTAGAGTTGAGTAATGTATTAACAGGCGGAAAAAAAATGTCAACCTGAAAGTTATCAAGGGTTATTTGTCTGTCTCTTGTTAACTATTGACATTTTTCATATTAAATCAATGGTTCACCTTGATTCAATTTATGAATATACAACATGTATCATCATTATCATCATTACGAAGGGTGAATAATAGGTAAATCGAAAGTGATATTATTACAAACGAGTATTGATGAATGAAAGACACAAAAGATATGAAAAAAAAACAACAACAGCTTATATTGAATCGTTAATGATATTAGCTGATAGTTACTCTCATGATGAAGATGAGCAAAAAAATGAATATTCAGCTAATACATGAAGATTATTAGATATGGAATATGGTCATAAAGAGGAGGATGATGTTAACTAACAAGCTAAAAATGATGAAATGGCAGAAGAGAGAAGAAAATTTTCAATTGACTTGGGTTATGATGAGAGCTCTTTTTTTCTACTATTAATAATATCTGATGATTCTTAGAGAAAATGAGACGACAGAATATGAAAAAAAACTAATAAGAGAAAATGATGATTATGATTATGATGATGATGGAGAAAGATCATACGGAGTGAGTTCTGTTCTGGGGTGTAGAGTTTAAATGACTGCTATTGAATGGAAAAGCGAAGATAAAAAAAACAAATAGAACAAAGTTCGAAGAGAAGAAGAAAAAGATGAAGAATTTGAGTAGAACTAGAAATAGAAAAAAAAACAATAACAACAGAATATGTAGAAATAGAGATGAGAATGAGAGAAGATAATAGTGATAATGATGATAAAAGAAAAGGATGCAAAGAAAAAGTAGAGAAGAAGTTTGATTATGATTGAAAATCAATGAAATTCAATCGAGAGAGAAAATGGTGATTTTCTCCCTGCAAATAAAAAAAGAGTAAGAAAGGGAGAACCTTCAGGGGAACAGAATTCATGAGGAAGAATGCGGAAAGTAAGGAGATAATAATATGAAGCAACAAATATCCTCCATCAACAGAATTCAATTGATTTTGTAAGTTGATGATGTTGAAGATAATCGAGGACAAGCTGATGGTGAATTTGTTTAAATCGTTGATAAAAATATACACCAATGAACTTGGAACATGTAAATATAACCCTGAAGATGAACACAGCGAGAAGATAATCAAAATCAGCTTCGAATTTTTATCTTTCCTTGGATTGTGTGACCTTTGTGTCTTCTTTTTCTCTTGATCAATTGTAACTTTCGATTTTTTTTTACTCTCCTTCTTGATGATTCCATGAGCTCTTCTTTATATCCAATTCGTTTGATTCTGTGATTTTCTTTCTATTTTTTTCTCCTTCTTCTTATTCCATTCCTTTTCATGTCTTTGGTGTAATCATCACTATTTCTTTTCACTATTGATGCAGAAAAATTACACCAGTTACATGCTCAGATAAACTTTTTCTTAGCATAATTTTTTCTTTCTCATTTTATCTTCTTCTCTTTCGACTTTATCTGTGAGTTCCTTTTCCTTTATCTGGTTCATTACATGTTCCCTCCATGGTTTTGAATCTTTCTTTTTTCTTTGCTTCTTGTAAATTACAGTCTTTTCCCCGTGTGTAGTTGTTGTTGTTTCCTTAATTGTTGTCTTATGGATTCACCGTTACTTTAAACAAAATTAGATAACAATTCCAAAGGCTTGTTGACTATTTATTCACTGGGTTTTTCTTTTTCTAATCACTTTTCTGTAATTCCTTTTTTAATTTTCTCCTTGTTAAGGAATCCATTTCGTCTCGCATCTTCCCCTCTTGATTTCTTTTCTTCTTCTTCTTCCTTTTTCTTCCGATGTCTTCCTTTATCATCACGTTTCTTTAGAGTTTTTCTTTTACATCCAATTTAAATTAACTGGTGCATCAAATTTCCATGATAAAATCAGATACAATTCACAATTTTTTCTTCCTCTCCTCCTGTGTTCCAGTGGTGATAAAGGAACAACCTTTTGTTCCCATTCCTTTTCTTTGAATATTATTTTCAAGGTAGCTCGATGAGGTTTTCCACCATTTTATTATCCACCAAATTATCAGATTATTTCATGGTAATAGTCAGGGAAAAAAACTAGTAACTTCTAATGTTTGTTTTCAGTTTAAAATGATGAGCATATTTCAAGAGGAGAATCTCCAACAGTAAACCATAAGTTGAAAAGCTCAAACAAAAGAGTAGTAATTTCACTTGGGATTGTCCATCTCTTTGTAATAATCTTTATGAAAGTCACCTTATTTGATTACCAATTGTATTTAACCAATTGACCTTAATTAAATTAACCATTGGGCAGCATAAACACAATTATCATCCTTTGTAATTAAAGACTTGAATTGATGATGGCCAGTTGATTTTCTCACTTTGAACATATGAAAGAGTGAGAGAAAGTGGGGATAATAATAATTATACGATGATTTGATTCCTTGTTGGTTGCAATTAAATTGGAGTCAAAAATTCACCAACAATCAAATGTAATTACAGGTTTTCCAAAGGGGATATTCAACCAAATATCAACAATTCACAATAGAAAAAGGGATTGAGTACATTAAATACACACACAGAGAGATATAGAGAGGTAAAGAGAGAGAGAGAGAATAGAAGAAAACAAAAGTCAATTTATCTCCATTTACTGAAAATTTAGAATCCAAAAGAGTCCAAATAGAAAAAGGCAAAAGGAAAATCTTTGTAACTCCATGAGAAGAAAATTGATGATATCCCAATGAGATAAAAGTCAGATGACTGAATACAGAATAGAAACCACAATCATCATCAATTGTAACCATTGAAATAGAAGAGAAAATTAATCCTTGATTAAGAATAACAATAAATGTCAACAATTAGTAAAATCAATAGAGAAAAACGAAAGTAAGAGAGAGAGAGAGAGAGAAACATAAAAATGACTTGACTCTATTCAAATAGATGATCAATTCTCATTCGGATTAAATGAGAAAAGTTAACAAACTGATTACAGTAATTAGAAGATAATTAAACCAACTTAACTCACCATTAAATCATCTAAATAATTAATCCACTCATCAAATAATAAAACCAAAAAAAAAGAGAAACAATTAAAAAATCTAAAGAGACAAAGACAAGAAAATGGAGTCACAAGAACAACAAAAGAACAACTAATTTAATTGGAAGAATTTTTTTCTTCTTTTTCTCTGTCGCTTTTTCTGTCTACTTTTGTCTGTTAATTTCTTTTTAGAATTTTTGATTTTCTTTTCACTTTTTTCCAATTTCTCTTTGTGATTTGACCTTTGATTGTTTGCCAGTTAATTGTTTGTTTCTTTGGTCTTTTTAAACGACAATTAAATTACAATTTTTAGACAAAATGACCAACTAAGTAATCAGCTAATTGATTTGATTGGTAAATTAATCTTCAAGTGTTTTGTTAATCCGCTCGTTCATCTTTTCAAAATGTCTTCTTTGTCTCCTTGTATCTTTCGGCCATTTTTCTTGTGAAACTCAGTTCATTATAATTCAACAAGAATCATCATGATGTTAATCGTTAATAACTCTACAATCTAATTTTTCTTATTATTCTCTGTGTTTTTGTGTCTGTATTTAAGAGAGTTAAATCTTAACCCGATCTTTTTCCAGTCTTCTCTTGTTTTCTTCGGATGATCATCCATGTTTCTCTAATGTTTTATATCTTCAACCACTAAATCTTTTTGGTTAAATTGTTATTTTTGGTTATATTTTCTGTTTCTCTTTTTTTTAGATTGATTGCCAATGTCTTCCATAAAATGCCTTCCCGCTCATGCAAACGTTTGAAGAAAAGGAGGAAATAAAGGAGAAGAAGAGAAAAAAAAACTCCAAAAAGAGTAATGAAGATTACTTTAAATTATCTTGTTCTTCGATCCCTAATGAATCTTTGGGTAAATTAGCTGATATATTTGTATATACAAAGAAGCTGAAAAGGAAGGAATAAATTCCTATTGAAACATTATTATAACAAGAGAAGACTTTTATCTTATATATACAAATGAGAGACACTAAACACGAGGAATCACCTTTAATCACATTCTATCAATCAAGTTGACTAAAATTTAATATCTTCTGGATAGGAACACATTACATGTTGGAACAACAAGAGAAAGAGAGTAAACAATTCCCACTATCCTCATAAACCTCTAAAGATCATCAAAAATGGATTGATACCAATTTGTAATTAACATTGTGTTTGGACCAAAAGGAAACAAAGTGATGTTTATAAATATCCAGTTAGGTAAACAAAACCAACACCTTCATTGAATACTACCAGTGTTATATTTATCTTTAACTCTGTAAAGTTTGATTACATCTTTCATTTAAGGTTCTCTTACTACTGGAACAACCATGGAAAAAGAAACCATGGTAAAGTAGAGTGAAATTTCAACTATTTGCATGGAGAAAAGTGAAACAAGTAACAAAAGTGTGTAACACTTAAAGAACAGGAAGGAGTTAGAAGGTGATGAAGGAGGAGAAGAAGAAGGAATAATAATCATTCTAAAACATTGTAACGTTTTCCTCTCCATCAACTTTACGATTTAAATGACAACTGAAAACGCAATCGAATCCAGAACAACTTAAATCTATTTTCCATTGAATTTTACTACTGAAGGAGGAAAATAAAAGAATAACCATCAAATGGTATTATCGATATCTAAAGGTAAATATACTTGGATGTAGATAGAACATGATTTACAATGTTTCTTGGTTTTTTTTTCTCTCATCTAATGTTGATTGTTTTCTAAGTGAAACCAATGAAATAGTTCATTTTTGGAACATCATTAATGTGATTGCCATTTTTTGCTTCACTCACTTGAAAAATATTCTTTTTTCTTTATAATTTAATAATTTTTTCTCTTTATCATTTTTCTTTTTTTCATGTTCTATTCGCAAGTAGAAACAACAACAATCAAACAATTGACTACCAACAGTTACCACAAGAATTGATGCTCATTTGTCGCCTTAATAAGTTCATGGTTCAGCTCAACCTTATTCACCAAGGGTTAACTTTATTTGGCTTCTGTGATTATCTTCCAAGTCATCATCATAATCATCATTCCATTTTTTGAGGCTTGTCTAATCTAATTCTTCTTATAGTTTGTATTAATTTTACACTTTGCTTGTTTATTTTATTCTATTTCATTTCATTATCTTCTTTTCCTCATCTTCTATGTAATTTTGCTTATTTTTTTCTATTTATTTGGTTTACTTGATATGCTCTCAGATGATATTCAGATGATAATAACGATAAGAACCATTGGTTTGGAACTAAATTGATTATTATTACCTTTGAATGGTAATAAATTTCAATTGATTCAATTTGAAATTCATTTATCATCACACACATAATCAGCAAGAAATAAGGCAATGACTGGAACTTCAAGTTCATGACTTCGTCAATATTTACTTATCTGAATAAATGCTATTTGTTTATAAATAGCATTTTCTTCAGTTAAATTGCTAATTTTTACTTGTAATACTCAACATAATACCTTTAGATACACTTACATTAGACAAAATTCTGAATATTATCTATTGATTCGTTTATTATTTTTAGTGATACTTTATCACCTCAAACTGTTTCTCTGTTGATAACAACAATCAACTGATTATATATAGCTGATTGTTGTTTGATTGATGAAACTTGTAAACACTTTACTAGACTCATGAAATTGATTGATTGAAAGTAGCGACAGGATAGTTTGTTTTTCCATAACAATACAGCAAAACATTAATATCAATTTTCAATACGTTCACATCTTTTATTTTCAGGCATAATATTCATTCATTTAATACACTAATCATATCATCATTTACTTTTTGAATGGGAAAAAGTTATCAAAAAAGTTCTGGTTTATCAACAGGAAACTTACGTTTACTATGAAATCAAATTGCTTAATAATTGTGTAACAATTTTCAAGGTAAGTATATCAAATACTCAACAAATCAATGAATTTGAAATATTATCTTTACAAATTGCAATTCAATCAGCAAATTTTTCTTCTCTTTTTCTTATATCCCACAGATCAATCTTAACTTTCGATATTATATTAAAGTTCCCAATTCAATATAAATGGACACATGAGAAACTGTTTTTAAAGTTGGTGAAAAAAAGGATAAACTACTAAAGGAACAACAAAAAGACATCAATAATACATGATTTATAATGAGCCCCTTCCGTTGAGGTTAATACAGTGTAATCAAGATGAGGACAAGAATCATGAAAGATATAAATGTCATGAAATTCAATGGATTTAATAAAAGACATGTCCAAGAGGTTATACCGGTGAAAAGGTTAGTGTACATGTTAGAACTCGTAAAAAAATCTAGAGGATTTGAACTAAAGCTAAAATCTCTTCATTCATTAACTTGAAAATCTTTTTTTCTTGATTAAATAACTAACTCAAGTCCATCTTTATGGTCAATTTCTCTCTCTTTTTCCACACCACAGATAAAATCAAAAAATCATTTTTCATTCAGAAAATGTATGCAAATGAATCTGGCTCTATTTCGATGTATACTATAACAATGACGTCGTTAATTACTCTAATTACGAGAAATTTTGTTTGACACACTGGGAAAAAAACACAATGTCAATGGTGGTGAACAATATCATCTCATCAACCATTATTATGATGATATTTTTATCTAATTGTGATAACCTTCACCTTTAATACCAAAGGGATTTACATGCTAATCAAAATTCATGAGGTATTTATCAATCTTTTATATAATTATGATTGAGAAAGCAATTAACCTAAACAAACATTAAAAGTCAGCAATTTATATTCCTTTGTAGTGATTAACAAGCAATCATAGCAAAAAGACAATTAGTAAATTGTTGACGATTAAAAGTACCTTAATCTTTGATAAAAACAATGAGATGTATTTAACTAACATAATCATCTAAATTTTGAATACATGTGAAATTTTGTCCATTAAGTTAATTGATTCATGAACTTGACAATGATTAAAGTTGATAAATCAATTTAACGATGGTTTAACTAATTGTAAGTGATAAGATACAATTTAATTGTGGTAATAATATTTTTTTCTATCTGTTAATGGTTAAAAAATTAACATTGTAATCAGAGAGAGAGAGAGAGTAAAATAGTTGATAGATTATAAGTGAAAACCCATAGAAAGCAATAAGCCAATAATAGGTTTTCAAAGTGTCTCTTTGTTCATTTCCATGATGATAATGATGATCATGTTGTCTTATCGTTATCATTATTAACATTTCAATTCTGACAATTGTATTGTTATCATCATTGTTAACTATCATTGAGTTTACCAACCAAACCAAATACACTTTCATTGTTATCTCTCATTGTGAATACATTTATTATTATATTCACAAGTCAAGTTTTCTGGTTCCAGGAAACAAAGATGAACAAGAAAACTGATGATGATGATGATTTGTGAGAGACAAAATTCACAGAGAGAATATCTTCTTATTCTGTCTCTAGGGTTCTATTTATTTTTCTGTAAATTTTGTTCTTTTCACTTTCTACAAAAAGAACAATCAACTTGAAGCTTCTTCTTCCACTCTCTCTCCATCTTTACCTCTTTCCTCTCATCTTAATTTACATATCAAAGTACATTACGATTTTCAAGTTAAATCTAAATTTCCTACGGTTTTTTACTCTCGTTGACTTGTTAACTCTTTCTCTCTGCATGATTATATCATCATGATAATATAACATCTTATCTGAATTCAGTGTTGATATTAACTCCCTTTATTCAGATTAAAACAACGTAACCATGAATTAAACCATAATGATTCTTGATATTGATAAGCTGAGTAACTCCTATTAAGAAACATTGATGATACCTATGGGGTTTATCACCAAACGTATCAATAGAGCAACAACGAGGGGACATGATTGTCTCATGAAATCCACAATTCAAATGATACAATGAGAATTCTCGTTAATTGTAGTTTTTGAACCTAAATTATCAATGCGATTATCTCATGAACTTCAATAGGAAAACTAATAGAACCTCAAGATTTAAACTAATGCATTGTAAAATTTTGAGTCTCTAATTGTAATCAAGAAAAAGTGAGTTGGTTGATTGATAATTTGAAATTAGTTCATGCCCTTTGAGAAATTCAAGATAATTTATCGTTCTTTCAAAATAATACAATAACTGTTGAAGTAAATTCTGTTGATGCAAAGTACATGATAACGATTGTTATATTAATAAACTTAGAGAGACTTAGTTTTTATTTGAAGAATCTTTTTTATTCCAATTCTGTCTCATGTCTGAACTTTGAATTTTGAATTGATCATGTTTCTCTTATTGGCTTTATTGGTGCAAAAAAGAGGATGAATAAAGAAGATGAGAAAAGTAAGAGGAGAAAAAAACGAAAAGAAAAGTAAAGAAAAGAACGTGATGAGACTTTTAAAAGTATCGATGTCGAACAAAAAAATAGTTCTAATAATCGAGGAAAGAATGAAAAAAAGACGAAAGGATATAAGAAGATGATGAAGAAAGAGAGATGGTGATAAAGGTGAAAATAAACTTAACAAAACTGTTTCGAACTATTAATAAAAAGTTATTACAGATAATTCAGCTCGGTTCCAATTCTGGTTGATTGAAGCAAAATGATTCAGAGAGTCAAGATTTCATGGTTCATATTTTAAGTCACAATTTAAGTCAATCCTTTTCACCAACGGAAGATTTTTCTCTTTCCCTTTCATGGTGAATTCATTAGAATGATGAACTTTTATCTTACTTGAAACTTTTGTAAGCTTTTTCTGTTTCGAGACTCTCATTGATTCACAACCTTTGACCTTTTTAATTGTTACCAAATTTGAAGCTAATTTAATAATTGAAATTTTAATACAATGATTAGAATCATTTTCGTTTGTCTGTTCACTCATTTACAGAATAGATTACTTATTCATGTCACTCTCTTTCTCTCTTTCTCTCTTTCTTTTTGTTTCTATTGTCTGTATTCTCTCTTAACTTTAACCCTGAGCATTTCTTTCACCCTTCAATGAGAAATAACTGTAATCATGGTATTAATAGTTACGATTTACTTGTGTTGCCCATTCAAAGAATAGTAATACTTTTATTCCTCAAGGCAATCTAGACCATCATCTTAACACCTTATTGTTATTTGTACTATTTTCATGATGAAATTTCAATAGTAGGTTCTATCTAAGAATAAGAAGTAAAAATTTCCATGGAAACTTTTGCTTCCACTTGAAACATATCCCCAAATTACATATAGCTCTATTATTGCCTCAAGCTATTCCTAACACTTGAACGAAAAGCTTATTCTATTGTCCAGATGAATAGTTTATTCATTTGTAATTGAATGAATCTTGATGATGAAACTTTAAATACATTTTGAATACTTGAATCACAATTTTAAGACAATATAAATCAACTCATTGAAAGATAGTTATTAGTATATGAAAAATTAGTTGCAGAGCAAGCAGAATGATTGTTGATGTAATGTTTTTTTCCGATAATAATAGCATGCGAATGGTCAAGACAAGTTTGTTGTTGTAAGAATGATGTTGATGATAATGATGTTATACTGTGAATATGATGATAGTTGTGTTGATATTACTAAAAAGTATGCGAAAGATGATGAGTATCAATGATATGATGATCAGATTATGATAACAATGAGTAGAATGATGAAAAAGTGACTGAAATGAACAATATGAATCTCTAGTAATGAAAGCGAAGCACCAGAAAGATGATGTTGGTGAAAAAGAATCAAAACATGGTGATGATTATGACAATAGATGATAAGGAAGATGAGAACAGATGATTATGATGAGAATGATGTTGTTGATGGATAATAAAAAGAACGAAATTTTCTTATCATCTATCGATGACAGAATCAGAGAATGTAAAAAGTAGAGTATTAAAAGTGTAGATTATTATGATTATCTCACCAATAAAGATAAAGAGTGAGATTAAATTTCTCTCTCGATTTTTGTTCTGAAAGTTATCTTTTCTTACTTCATCTTCATCACGAGGAATCATTATATCTCACCAATCATGGGAAAGATAAACACGAACATTTGATTTATCACTTCGTAGGTAAACACAGAGATTGGTGATGAAAATTATTGTCCTGATTGTGATTAACTTTCTCTCTCTCTCTCTCTCGATAATATTCAACTAATTGCTGTTTTTACAATAATCAAGACAAATTGATAATTTAATTTGCTTTTACAACTTATCCTAAAGATTAGTTTGTCTCTTCATTGTAAATATTTGCTATCAGATTAAATTGATTATCAGCTGATTTTGTTTAATCTTTTCAGTTGATTTTAAAAAGTGTCATTTCAATCACATCATTATTATTATATAATATGAATTATTATATTATAATAATGTTAATATTTTAATTGATTGATGTTTGTTACTATTTTTTGTTGGTTATCATTTTCATCATCATTATTTTTATCATCTCTTTTGTTATTATTGTTGTTTCATTGTTTTTACATTGCCTTTCACACCTAAGGCATTAACATGATGATTATGGTGATAATGATGATGATAATCAATCATCCGTTGACACCGTTACTTTTGACATGAAGGCAACGAAAAAAAAATAGATTTAAACAATTAACAAATACCATTGTTTCAACAATCAACTGATTGAATTAACGACATTAGATGGCAATTTTTTGGTTAATTAAAGTTTCAATGATTAAGATTGATTAGATTTACCTGAGCACATCCTTTACCGATTGAAACGTCTTGTCCTTTTTGATAACGTGAAAATTGTCGTCCAACTAATGACCAACATCCTGGTTGGTCAGTTCGAAATCGAATCAGGAAATAATCTTTGGATGTTGCCTCACGAAATTTGATACAAGTTTCATTTTCCCAATGTCTCATTCCCGTTAAAATTGCCCGTTTCTCATTATCGTTAACAGCTAGTTAATTGAATTAATTAATTAATGATTTGGAAAACATAAAAAAAAGTCAACACTCATTAATCATGATAATCTAATTGTAATTGAATAGATGAATCTCTTTGTGATGTAAATCAATGGTAAATTTGCTTCTACTTTTTTGCCCCCTTGCTATTTATCAGCAATTACTATTGCTGACGAGTTCCATGGTTAATTAATTGTCTTGATTTTGTTGTGATTATTTTGGTGTTTTATTTGTTCAAATAACAATCTATCAAACTTTTACTATTCAATGTAAACCTAATTGTCAATTGATTAATGGTTTAACTTTCAAACGTCAAATTGTAAAGTATTTTCTGATAACAAGATAGTGAGAGAAGGTGACAAAGTTCATTCTCTCAATTTCGTTGTTGAAATTAACAATTAACTTACAATAATGGAAAGTATATGGTATTTGACCTGAAGGCCAATAAAGTACCGGATCGGGAATGGCCTTGCGACCATCAAGAATTTCATTTGCTTCCTCCTTGTTAAAGGGAACCACAACATCACCGTCAACAATTTGATAACCTTCATGAGTCTCCTTTGGATTACCACCACCGAACATGTTCAACTATCGACAGTAAAAGTGGCCCAGTTAAACAAGAAATCGCTAATTTGTTCAAAGTATCGAAATCGATCATATCAATTTAATCTTAACGATAAAACAGTTACGCAGTGATTTGTGTAAAAAGGATTGTATTGATTGGTTACTGATTAATTTAAAATCGATAGATCAACATGGTAAGGTATTTACTTTGTCTGAAAAGTTCATTTCCTGAAGCCGGAACTTCAACTTGAAATCATCATGGGGTAAGTGTTCAATTAGAGTATTCAATTTGAAACATTGTTAACAATCAGCAAATTATTCTGATCAATCCAATGAAATCTATCTCTTAATCAGCATGATAATAATCACTGTAACATCTAGCTAATTACTTACTTAACCTTACAATTTAAACTGTACAATCTTTTGTCTATTAGATTTTTACGTTGATTGTCTTATTACAATGAATTTGGTACTGGAAATTGATCGTAATTTAATTGTTAATTAAATATCAATCCTTTCTTATCATTTAGATTAAATTGTTGACCATTACAAGGGTATTTTTCACTGTTAATTGTTAATCAACTTACCAAAGCATCCAATTTATCTGGTTCATTGTAATCAAGGGAATCAATTGTATATTGATTGGTTAATGTTAACTGTAAAACAATCAAGTAAATATAAAATGATTAGTTAATCAGCTCATCTTCAACACGAGCGTATTAATAAATTGTTAGTATGACAATTGCGATAACAGGAGCAAGAAATGAAAAAAAAGTAATCACTTTGATTAACTAGATGATAAAGTTTAATATTAAGATGATGAAACAATATAAAGTTAACTTTTTTTGTTAATTCATTATAACAATTAACAAGCCTTGTGATAAATTACATTTAAGTGAAAAGCGAAAATCAAATGCAAGGATCATTAAGTAACTAACATCCAACTAATTAACTTTGTCATCCAAATCTTTTCATCATTTTCAACGATTAACAAACTAAATTGTAGATAATTCTTATTATGAAGACGATGATGATTTGTATAACGAAAAGGATGCTGATAATATATCAAGAATTAAGTATTCTAATATCATGAAGAGTTTTATTTATTTCGTTCATGATGAAATTATCTTTCAACTCAGAATCTTTATCAACCATTTAGAATTGAGCAAATTTGTACTCTGATAAATTAGTAAATTCTATTTGATCAACTTTCAATTAATTATCTCATGAGATTTAACATCATCACCATGTTGACATTAAGATGATGATGATGATGTTGAATCAAATAATTGCAATGGTAAACAAATGGGGGAAGATGAAAAAAAAACTCGAACCTTTTTATTCATTACAGTTCATTGGAAATATATTCATGATATTATTGAATAATTTTCATGATAAATTATTTCCTTATCAGTTTATTCAGGTTATAATTCATGAATAAAAAATCTTCACCTGTTCAAGTTAATAACTTGTCAATTACAGTGTTGATTTATCAACAATGTTTAAAGTTAAATTGATGAATATCTGTCAATTACATTATATTTTGTATTTGTAATAATCAATTTTTTTGATGAGATTTAAATTGTTTGTCGATAATCAAACTAATCACTTTCTTTCTAGGTGTCTGAATGATACATTCAGAAAATTGGAATCTTTATCTCCTCCATTACTATTTCATGTGCCATTTTTAACCCATTATCATGGTGAAAAAGTGAGACAGATATTATTTCATCTCTTTCTTGCTTCTTCATCACTCTGAATACCATTGAATCATTTCATCATCTGAGAACTTTTTTCTTCTCAATCTCCTTCAACCAAGAGCTAACTAGTTTTCAATATGTAACATCACTTTCTCGTCTCCGTTATGATGATGATGATGATGAAGATGAAGATGTTACATGGGTACAGAGGGTAAAAAAATGTTCTAGTATAAAAAGAAAACAAAATTGTCAATAGAAGACATAAAAAAATGCTCAACACTAAATGTCAAATTTTTTTTCTGTTGTTCTGATTGTTCAAGGTTCAGAATAATATCGTTTTTATTATTATTGGAATCGATTCTCTTTCTGTGTTTGTTTGTGTGTGTGTGTGTTTGTATTGCTAAAGATTTTGATCTCATCTCTGAACTTTTATCCAATAATATTCAATAATAACTATAAACAATAAAATGTGAATTACAATATCTTTTTACTGTTTAACCTTCAATTCACATTTCATCTATTCATGGTATCATGAATTTCACCCTGAATTTCATGTTATCATCTTTTTGCTTTATCTCTTTTGCCTCAATCATATTATTATTTTCACTTTGCGTTTATTTTGTAATCCTGGTTCAATTTTATCTCATGTTACATGAATTATTGTTTCTTATTCTGAATAATTCTGGTGAAACATGTAAAAAACAAGGCAAATCTCAAATGAAAAGGTAATATATAAATTTCAATCGTTACCTGAGTAATTAAACTGATCCAGATTGTTGTTAACCATTTGGACATCATTTTGTTGATTGTTTTTTTTTGTTTACTTTTGCAATTTGATTAAGATTGATTGTTTAACTTGATTGTGTTGAGGTTAATCACTAAGTTTAAGGTTATCTGTTAACACTTTAATGTAAGATTAATTACTAATTGTTGTGGGTTTAAATCACTATTACGATTAAGCTCTCACTCTCACTCTCTCTCTCTCTCTTTTCATCTGTTAGCAATTTTAATCTGATTACTATCTGAATCCATAAATTAATTAGGAAAATTGTTCAATATTATGATTAAGATTGAAAATCATTTAGTAAAATAGTAACCTTGATAATCAAAACCCTTATCCCTTATGTTGATTGTGATTAATTACCAATGTTAATCAAATTAAATTCACTGAGTAATCATCATGGTGATCAGTTAGTCCAATGAACTTGATTTTCATATAATAAATTGTTCAAACTGTTACAATGTAAATGAATAGACAATCTTAGTTAATAATTATGAATAATTAGCTAATTAGATGAAATGAAAAAGAAGGAGTAAAAAAAGTTAACTTTTAATTGCTGTTATAGTTAATCAATCAGCAATCAATTCAATTCAGTGGATTACCAAATGATAAACAATCCATTCAATTGTGATTGTACATTAGGATGAGAAAGATAATTAATCTTATTTCAAATGATTAATGAACAATAAGGAACAACAATTATTGAGATTATTTGTAATCGTTTAGTTCCCTTTACAGGGAAGAAAATTTCGCAACTCTAATCACAATTAAGATTCGATTATCACGCTGTGATTTAAATGGAATTAATAATTACCGTGTTATCCCAATGAAAGAAAATTTTCAATTTATCTTGGAATTTTTTTCATCTTTTATCATGATGATCAATAATTAATTGAGACGCGCTTGTGCTGAATTAGTTGATGGAAAAAGTTTGAAAATAGAAAACTATTCATCAGAATTTTCCTTGTTGGTGAATATAAACTCAGTGGTTGTATTGAAAATCCATGCGCATTCTGCTTAGAAGATGCTGGGAATTTTCTTCTCCCACTCATCTCCCTTTGGAAAATTGTATTTTTCTCTTCTTTCAATTTCTCTATGTTGACTCGTAGAGACAAAGTTACCTCATTTCTTTTTTCATGGTATTCAAACAAGTAAAACTTTCTTATTTTATCCTCATCATCATTGATCATCATATCTGATACCAAGTGAAATCCAAACAACTGAACTCAACTGAAAAGACATTCATTGAAGTCATTGGTTTATCTTTTGTCATATTCACAGTACATACTGCCTTCAATATCTCTGACTATCTTCACTCTTTTTCATCATCATCTTTGTCTTCCTCGTCTTTTTATCTTCTTCTTCAGATAGAGTCAAAATTTGTTCTCCTTTTCATCTTATTGATATCACTTTTGTTAAATTATCATCATCAATATCTTGAAATCTTTTTTTCATTCTCATTGAAATCAACAATGTTAACAGTAAATTTTGTTTTGTTATACTTTTTTTCACACCAATTTAAACATCACCAACAACTTATCAACAATTGAAACCCAAAAAAAATTGATAACAAAAGGAAATGACCAACATTAGATTTTGTTATTTGAATGGTCAAAGAAATTCAACTTTCACCATAGAGACAAAATCATGTTTACATGTAAAATTTTCATCTTTATATTATATAAATTTTGATTAACTTGAGAAATAGTTACTGTTTATTTCACATGATAAATTTTCTTGAATGTTTACATGAGTTGCCTGAGAGATTGAAAAATTATTGTTTACTCTAAAAAAGTGACCGCAATCAATTGATTTGAAGTAAAGAAAATCAAATATTCTGTTACATTGATTGTAAATCATCATCTTTGTGTATTTTGTAAAAGTAAACAGGATAACATGATGATAATAATTTACGAAATTCCAACTCGCAATCAAGTTTTTTGATTACATTGATCCATCAAATTTGCAAAGTGAAAAGACAACAAACACTCAGGTGACTCAATCATCCACATCATAATCATCATCGTCAACAACAACATTATCATTTCCATCATCTTCTTGTCTTTCCTTTTAATTTTTGCTTCATCTTCAACCTTTTTCCAACCCGAAAATCATCATCATCTTTACCTTTTATATTTACAAAATAATCTCTTCTCACTAACCTGGAATAATCTTTTACATGTTTCGTTAGCTTAAGTTGATCTCTAAATTAGGAAGCAAAAATGAAAGGTTCGTTAATTTCAAATAGATTGAAGGAAAACATTTTCGTTACAATGTTAAGCTAATCATTTGTCATGACATTATTATTATTAATACCTTTTTACCTTAGATGCTTAAAACAATAACAACAACAACGACAAGAATAAAAATAACAACAACTCGATCATATGAGAAAAAGGACCTAAAACAGAGAGAGAGTGAACATAAAGACGAAAAAGAAAAAATCGAAAAACCTTAACATCCAAAGAATAAAATAACAGCTACACTATTATTAAGTAAAATTAATGAAAAGGAAAAAAAATGTTCTCTTACCATCATCATTATCATCCTTATTATTCTTACTCTAAAGCATCCTCATCATTTCTTATAACAAATATTATCATTATCGTAAGAAATTGTTTACTAACACAACTAAACAATCATGTTAAGGTGAACATCTCAATGATGAGCTCAAATAATCAATTTAGTTAAATATGATTTAAGATTATTAATGAGAATTAACTTTTAATTATATTGTGACTTATTGATTGCCGGTCAACTGTTATTATTGTAATTGGTCATTTCTTCAATGTTTACTAAATTGTGATCCACATTTTGGAGGATAAAAATTGACAAATACAATTACTAATTGGCTAATTATTATGGTTTATTGGTTTAGCGTTTACCTGATAATTACCACGAGGAGAAATGATGAAATTTGATTTATAATAACAGAATCTTCACTAACTAATCCTCTTAATCATTAATTACATCATGATTTGGATTGTTAAATTATGTATAATTATGTTATTTATGATTAATTCAATTTGGATAAATTGTGATTTAGTGTCTACCAATAATGACAATGGGAATAATGAATTTGATAAATTACTTTCACCAAGAACAGTTAAAACTAAAAATGGTTTCCTCAGGGGTATTCTTATATCACTTTCAACACCTTCATCATCATCATCATCATCATCTTCATCTTCATCAACTTCAACAACAGCAAGTTCATCAGTGCCCATGGAAAATGTGAACAATTCTGAACGAATCAGTGACTCACTATCTTCCAAAGGATATCGTTCATTGAATTCAGTTGAAGCTTTTCTAGGTGTTCCTTATGCAGCTCCACCTATTAATAAATTGCGATTCATGCCCCCGGTGACCCCAGCCCATTGGAGGGGCACAAGGCTTGTTAATCATTATCAACCAGTGTGCCCACAAAAATTACCTAAAGGTTTTGACTCTCAAGGTAACATTAAAGATTCATCCAGCTCATCACCATCACCATCATCATCATCATCATCATCCGCTTCCGTTTCCTCTTCATCATCACCTGATAATCTTATACGTGGTAATTATGGTTATTTTTCACGGATAATCCCTCATCTTACTAATCAAAGTGAAGATTGTCTTTATCTCAATGTTTATCTGCCTTTATCCAAAGGTAAGAATTCAAATTCATTTTATTAATCCATTCAAAACAATTATCAAATTGCTATATTAATACAATAGTACAATTTCAACTTTATTAAATGTACATTCTGAATCTAAAATGACATTGGGTTTTCCTGTGGAAATTCATTGTCTTTCTCTTCCATGAGCTTGAAATATTCTGATTGATTTGATTGGAATTTTTCTTTTCTTTTGAAAGAGTTTATCAATCTCTTCTTTACTTCTTGAGGATAATCTCTAATCCACTTGATCATTTATTATCATCCTTTTCTTTTGTCTCATGCAACTTCCTTCTTCTTATCCTTCACCCTGAACTACTCAAGAACATGTTCTTGCAAATTGAGCATCGGCTGACAAGATGAGAGAGAGAGAGAGAGAGAGAGAGAGAAAGATGCTAAAACGTATTAATATATTTATCTTCTTGAATTCTTTTTGGCAAAGATCGATCATGATGAACAGAAGACGATGACGAAAGAAGATAATGATGATGATGATATCGATATTCAATTAGATTGGTTAGAGACTAAGGGAATCAATTCATCTTGTTAAAAAAAGAAACGAATTCTATCCAACTCTTTCATCCGAACTTCAAGTTTTTCCTCATAAAAACGATTTAAGTTCCTAATCCATAAATAGATACAATTATTTATCCAAATATAATGATCAAGTTATCTAATCTTTTTGTTCACATTTTATATTGAAAAATAATTCACTTTATTGACTTGAATCTTTTCCATCTTAATCATCATCTTTTATCGTCTCTTTCTCATTCTGTCTCTTGCTTTTTTCGAGGGGAGAATAGACTTATTCTTTAAGCTTCGAAAGAATTAGAACATTTTTCTGTTACAATTTAACAACTCGAGAATTATTTACTCATATATAAAGGTACTGAGAGAATAGAAAAGTATAATTGTGATACAATATTTTTTCTTAATACAAACATTTTCTCTTATCGATTATCAATACAAAGATTTGTTGTGAAGAAAAAAAAATTACATTCTGTTTGTATTTAGTGAGATACTCAGTCTGAACTTTTTTTGCACCAAAACTCATGGAGGTGGTGAAAAAAAGTTAAATACTAACATTGATTCATTTTGGTGTTTATCTGATATTGCAAATTCTGAGTGTGACATTGATTCTGATTTATAAGCGATAATGATAACATTTGGAAAAATTTCCCACTTCTATGAAATAATCAGATGCTTGAAATAAATTGTTTTCTTATTCAGTTTCATGAAAATTTTCCCCTTAAAACTGGAATTCATTATTCATTCAAGATTATCATGAAATGATCACTGAGGTTTCAACTGTTTTTGATTTTTCTACATGAAACTTTTATATTTTGAGACCACTGATCATCATTATGCTGATGAGGAGGAAGCATAATGATGATGAGGAAGAGGAGGAAGATGAGAAAATTTATCAAATGATATTTGGACATTATCATTGTCATGGGTCCAGTTAATTTTTCATGGTTCCTCTAAATCGATTCAAAATAATCTCAGTTCTTCATCTATTGTCTTTTAATGTTGATGATTATGCTGATTATTATTATGATGATGACATTGAAGTGAAAGATGAATAACTGATTCACATCGTAAAGCTTAAAGTAAAAAAAAAATACATTGAATTGAATTGAAAATTTTGAACCATTAAAAGAAAAGATGAAAAAAAGATTCACTTCCCAATTGATTTTTCAACTGTTATCATAACTTTTCAGTAGTTTGACCATCATCAATATCACAATTGTGTTCATCTCTTAATCATCATCAACATTCAGAACTTTTTCCTTCTCTCTATCATGTCGAATCAAGTTCATTTTTCTTTTCTTCCCTTTCCCCTTTTTCTTCCTCTTTTATCTTCCAAAATGAATATACATTGGATATATTCACACAAGGATGAACTAAATGTCCACAGAAGGAGTTTTCTCATCCATTATTTTTCATTTGAAGATGATGAAGATGAGTAAAGTGATGATAACTTTGTTGAAACAAAAGTCGAATGATGATTATGGTTGAATGAAAAATATATACTTTGAATAATATGATAACATTTTTATGCAAATTGAATTTTTCTCACACTGAATTATACACATGCTGACATATAAATACTCATCAGGTTTTTTATCATAGAAATTTAATATTATCTTCATGAAGAGTCAGTTAAATCTCATCAATATCATTTCTCATCATTTTCTCAACAATATTTCAATCTTTTCCTCCATTGGAAATCAATGGGGATCAATGTAAATAAATTGCTTCAAATTTTTTCTTCCACTTTGAAGATATTCATGATGGGCGCAAAAATTATGAATTATATTTAATTGAAACGAGAGATAAAGGGAATCAAGCATGAGTTGATATTTTATCTCTTCTTATTAACAATAATCTTGACCATCCCCTGATTGACTTAATATTCATGAAATTTCATCTTCGTGTGTCAATTACAAGGTTAACTATAACTTTTGTTGACCATACTCATAATATAATGTCCACAATGCTCATGAGACATTTCCGTTATCAAAATTGTAATGTTACATGATATGTTATTCACTATTTTTATTTCAACTGATATTCATATTTCTTGATGATTATCATGAACTTCATGATGAATACGTTACTATTGCCTTTTTATTTTCGGGCTTGTGTGTTTAAATGCTAATGAATATCAAGTTTAGTTTGTATCTTGAACAGTAATCTTATTATTTATTTTTACTATTTGATAGCTTCTTCCAGGTTATATTTATCCGCATGAATGTGTACCATGTCTACCATGATGTCTGATATTTTCAATGTTTCTGAATGAGAGAGATGTAAACCTTATTCTTATATGATGGACGAAAATGAATAAGAGATAAATTGATAATAGATAATGATAGTATTTATATTTTGATTTGCTGGGTATTCAGAAATTGTCTCATGGTGAACTCTCTCAACAGTTATAAGTAACATGAAAGATTATTTCTAGAGTTTCTGAAAAAAATGTCTGATTACTTTGTCATTTTATTAAGAAATTGTCATCGAGACAATGATATTAAGCATATAAGATGTTTGCTCTGAACGGAAAAAAATTTCAAACCGATTTTCATGGGTTTCATTGAACTCAGAGTATATGTGTGTATTTGTTTACGATCTGACGGATGATTGACTAATACAAATCAGAATTCAGGTTGAATTTACTGATCTTCCCTGTTATTTATTATCAATTCATCTTGAATCGTATTCTTGATTTGATTTTCATCACAATTCAACTGATCAACTGGAATCTATAAGTTTAACGATAATTCAGTCATCATTATCATCACTTGGAAAGAAAGGTAAATAATTTGTTCAGATGGAAAGAGATAAAGGAGAACTGATTTCAACCGATTGATACTTTGATTGAACTCAGAAAATTCTGATAATGGTGAAAAGATATGATGAGATATCCATAAGAAGAAAAAGAAGAAAAAACTATTTTCTCTATTATTATTCTCATGCTTTTACACCTTCTCCTTGCTCAGCTCACTTGATCTCTACGCCCAGAGTTTTTCCATGAGATAGCTTCAGAATTGCTAGTAAAAAGTGATAAAGAAGATAAAATAACTTGGAATCTTTTATTTCATGTTAGCTTATTTTTTTTATCTTCATCCAAGTTTTCAAATTCAACTCAATCATATTGCTTTTATCATCATTTTCCTTGATGTTAACTCATCTTTCCACCAGAATTTTCATCATCATCTCGATGAAAATGATGAGGATGTGAATGCTTATCATCATCATCTTCACCTTATGATAATACTTTACATCAACTGTATCTGAACTAAACCCTTGCAGCCATTATTATAGAATCCATATCATTGATAATTCCGTTTACATTAGGAGAAAAAAAAATACTCATGGTTATTATCATCATGATTATGAACCAGAATCATCAGATAACATTTTATTCATATAAATGTACTAATATTTAATACCTGATGGTTACCTGAGAAAAAAAAATTCAACATGAATATAAATATTTATTTCTATGTGTTTGTTTGAGTAAAAAAAAGTTACTATTTGATTTTGAAGTTAAAAATAATATCAAGAAATTCAGTTGAGAATTGACTTAACCATTGATACTAATATATATAGACAGGGGTATGAATATGAATACATTTTACTTATATGATGAAAATATCTCATAAAAAAAGCCTCTAGCATCACCGGAAGTTTTAAATATAAACACCGAAGGTAACTTTCTTATAGTAATCATGATATTAACATGATAAGTTCATTTTATCTTATGCAGTAAATTTTTTTCTTATTTTTTATGTAATCATATTGGCTCATGAATCTGAAGCTTGGTGACAATAATTACAAAGATTACCATTGAAACGCAATTATTTGGTCCATTGTTATTCAGAAAACTTTGAATAGTTTTGATTTATTCTTGGTCGGAATCACTTTCTGATTGAAAAATTTTTACAATACCAACTTATTTCATGCAATTCTGACATTTTAAGCTTTTTTTCTTATCTTCATGAAGTATTTCCTGAAAGTGAAATAAGATCTGAAGATTTGAAAATAACTAGTGATTGAAAGAATTGAGGTTCTCATACTCTGAATGAGGAAGTTGATGCAACATTTTTCAATGAGAATTGCTCATCATATTTGAAATAGATTATCGATGTATCAATATATTGATGATGTAATTTTAATTCTGAATTGGCTGATTGGTCAATTGATCCAGTTAGTGTTTGCATAACTGTTTCCAGGAATATACCTGAGTATCAGTCTCATTTCAGAGGGAAAGGTTATCATTATTGTGATTGATGCAAGTTACAATTATCTCTCTCTCTCTTTTTTCTTTCATTCTTCCTCTTTTCTACATTGATTCAGAACTTTTTACTATGGTCAATTATCTGGAATCGATACTAGTTTAATCTGAATAATTATTTTTTCTCCCCTTAATCTTAATCAATCAGAATTCAATTGCTAGTTCTAACTATTTTCCCCCTATTGAACATGT